GAATACAGGTGAAAAAAGTTACATAAAACTGAAGTTACATTTTTTTCTATTTTTAAATTTTTGCTGTACCCCCATTATTTTTATTATTGTAGTTTTCACCTCACTTTTACCATACTCATTAAACAAATTATTAAAAAATCAATTCTCAGTTTTTCATAGTTAACAAATTCATACTTTCGTTTTCTTTTAAACATTATTTGATTCATTTTACTTCCAAATATTAATTTCTCCTAAATGCATTGCTTTTTATAATGGAAGCCAATAACTGTAGGTGTTTGGCACATGTCTTTCTTTGGTAGGTACTGCAAAATATGAATCATTTGTTTCATCTGATGTAAATGACTATGAATTAAACACAATCACTTTGATTCATGACTTTGTTTTATATATTAATATTTATTGTACAATAAATTCTATACCAAAAATAAATTTATTTTTGTATAAATTATTAATTTTTAATTATATCTGTGCCAAAATTTCCAGGATTTTAACAATTTTTCCCTATTTTATTTCATCATCATTCAGTTATCCCTGGATTTCTATAATCTTATATCATATTTCAGCTAAATGGTGTGTTCTACCAGAAAATAATGATTCTGGTTTTTATTTAATGGGTTCCTTAAACTTTTCAATGTTTTGAACTTTTTGGAACCATTGATGCGACAATGAGTGTTGCATGGACAAATGACAGGTGTGGAGATATATAGAAGATCTTAATATCACACCTTCATTATCATTGACCACACCACTTTTGCAAATTGAAGACAAGTATTGTCATGTCAATAAAACCACCTGTTGACTTTACCCAGAAAAATGATCTTTTTTTTTCTTTTTTTTCCTAAATGTATTATTCGAACAAAATCAATTTCTGAGTGTAGTAGTGTACATTAACAGCTTATCAAAGTTCAGGCAATTTGTAATAAGAATTCTCTTTGAATCCCACCAAAAACAAAAAAAAACAAACTTTTTACCATTTATAAATTCCTGTTTCGTTGATATGTTGAAAACTGTTCTGAATCTAGCAATAGTTTTCTTTGTTATTCTTGTAATAAATCTCATTATCACTGAATGTTTAATATAAAAATACCTTTTTCTCAAAATAGATATAAAAGTATTTAAACTATGACCAATATTAATTTCTATTTCATGTGGAATGCATTTTCAAAGTTACCAAATTTTTCTTAATGCTTATAACTAATGTGCTACCATTGACTAATTGATTGCAAAAGCAATAAAAAAAAAAAATGAATAAATGTAAAATTTCTCTATCGTTGTGCTTTAGACGAAACTAGGGACTTCTGCATTGATTTAGATCCAATAAAAAGGATGCTAAATCCATCTTTGTACATGATTTATTCATATTTTTTTTCCTTAATCTTTCCTCTTTTCAATCTGGTTATTATTGTACAATTGACTTGATACATAAGTATTTATCATCTGCAAATACATTTCATTTGATATCAGCACTTCTTTGAGACTGAACAGTTTCAGCTTTTTGATATCCTGTGTGAGAATGGAAAATAGGTTGTTGGTATCAATATCTTGATAACTATTTTAATTTTTCTTATGAGTGCTTTAGAATATTCCTTCAACAGTGCTGTAGTTTATTTTTAGCATTGAATCATGATAAAAGAATTTTTCTTTTACATTAAACATTGTGTCTTTGTCAAATTACTTAAGTAGAAATTCTTTGTTCAAAATCGATTCTTTGAGAGCATGTTTTGCAGTACATCTGCAGTGTATATATATATATATATATATATATATATATATATATATTTGCTTCAGAGTTTGTTTGAATTTGAAATATATTTTAAGCATCTTTTTTTTTTTTTTTGAGAATTTTAGTTGTGAACAAATATTATATATAACTAATTATTTTTTTCTTTATTATAATACAAGAGTTTATTAGGTTTTATATTAGTAAATGGGTATGGGCAGTGGTCACTCATTCTTTGATGACATTATGAATAAATTTTGATATTACAAACATTACAAAGTATATAATTTATGAATGAAACTGATTTAATGAGAGTAATAATTTGAAAGCTGATGATAAATTTGATCATCATTGTATATTGGTTCATTTACATTAATTTTTTTCTTTTAAATGTTTTTTGTCATGTACTTTCCAATGTTTTAGTCATCTGTCTTATTTTGGAATATCATACATTCTCTTCTCCTACAAATCTTTCTTTCTCTGGATATTAATTTTCCAATATTTTTAAAGGTGACTGGTCTTACCCATGTCCACTCTGCCACAATTACATGAAATGTTGTACATGCTCTTCTTGCATCTGGTTGTTTTCTTTTAGTAAAGTTTGAGATATTTAGGTGAGTTATCTGCATAGTGAGGCCACTTTTGAATATTATACAGACTGCATATTCTGTCTCTTTTCTGCCATACCACTGATGAGTGATAGCTGTAGCCAGTTTTGTGTTGTCATTCAAACTCATTCATCAGCCTGTGATTGCTGATTTGATTCTAACCACCCATATAGTATGAAGTGGGCTGTACATGATTCATTATAAATCATGTGAAATCATGCAGTAACACAAACAAGGTAACAATCACAAAGCTACTCTACCATACATCATGTGGAGAAGATGCTGTCTGTAAAAAATCAAAGAGTATTCAAAACTGGCTCTCATTCTATGCAGATACCTCAACCAAAATACAACCTCTAATAGAAAACCTGACCAAGAACTGCATGTATAATATTCTGCATTGTTGTAGCAGTTAATATTAGGGCAAGGGCAGTTGCTCTCTAAAAATAATATGTATGGAACATTGAAAACTAGTAAACCATGAAGAAACTTTAAATTTGGGCATGACTGATTGTTGGTTCCAATCTTCACTAGGAATGACTGCAAAACACTTTCCCCTTCCCAAGTTATAGGCAGAAGCATATAAATGCATGCTGGAATTTCTTCCTAGCCAATAAAACAGGCCAGTTCTCAGTTTCATATGACTCAGTCCTAGTCCGTCTTGTCTTGAAGTCAGAACACTGTTTGCTTATCCGAATTTGCTTTTGTGTGTCAACCCCATTTCTTACTTTGTGAACTTTTTGCTATATTACTGTTGCTTTGCTTTATTATTGTTAATTTGCTTTGCATATATTGTTTTATATGCATAAATGTGTAGATGGAAATTTGGGTACACTAATTTCTAGGGAATAAAATCAAAAATGGGGAGGAAAAAATGTGGCGTCTAAGATGGTTGAAGGAATTGGCACATACCAAACTCAAGTCATCTGATCAGCGGGCAAAGATATGCATATCAATAACATGAGAATCATTGATAAAAATTTAGACAAAAAGCAGACCTTCAATAGGTGTTATAGAAGAAAAACATTGATTTTGCAAATGACTTAGCCATAGACCATAACTGAAATATCAGATATTCCTTATAGAAAATTGTAATCATTTTGTCAGACTTCTCAATAACTAACATTTCTGAGAACTTTTTTATTGTGAGTTTAAAAACTGGTGAATCTATTTCTATTGATAACTTTCAGTTTGAAATAGATCCAATCAATTTCAGAAAGTAACTATGGGTTTATCAATTTGTATGGAAGTTTGAATGTCAATTAAAGCAGTGGAAAAATATACAATTTAAAGTTCACTTTAAAAAAAAAAAATGAAAAAAAATGCAAGTCTGTTCTATCAGCCTGCAATTTAATGCCATCAGTGTTTTATAGCATCCAAGAAATATTGTTGTTAGTCTACCTTTCAACAAAGGTGCTTTTAAATAGAGAATAATACCATTGTAGTTGTATAAGACATCAAGTATCAAAATGAGAGTTGTTCTGTTAAGACTACTTTCACAACATGATCATTGTAACCATGCTGTTTGGTAGAGGTTTTAAGCAATGGACCACCTACCTTTAGGAAATGTCTTTTTTTAACAAAATGTTATCGTATATCCAGTTATGTTATAACATTATTCATATACATTGTGGCTTTTTATTTTGAGTATAGTAAAATACTGAATCCCATTATAATGATTCATGTTGGAAATCAAAAATGATGAAAGGAAGTTCAGTATAAAAGCTGTTATCGGTTATGGTTATAACAGAGAACAATAAAAAAATATTGTCAGTATCATGTAATTATTTTTTCTATAAAGGGAATTTATCTCGCACTGTAAATATTTTAAGTGGTTATTCTAATACTTAAATGTTTGTTTCAGAATAATATACCCCTTCGTAAACATAACTATCTTATATTTTCCTCACTTTAGCAATTACCAGTTTTTTTGATTATTTTAATTTTCCTTCCTATTTTTGGTATCAGGAATAAGTGCTATTAATTTATCAGTCTATTTTTGTCTTTAAAATAGTGTAATTTTTTTAATCTCATATTTTGTATTTAATTTTGCTGCTATAGTTTTTGTTTTCCTTCAGTTCAGGGTCCTCTTTAAAAATGTTTCAGCTTGTTATCCTTCTTTCTCAAGTTAGTTTGCATGACCAAGTCCAACTACTTGCTATAGAATTTTGAAAGTACCAGAATAGCACTTAGTGTAAGTAGAGAGGTAGTCTTCTGTATATGTCTCAATAAACCTATAATTTGTTTATATATTTAAAAGTTCAGCAAACTAACTACAGTTATAAAATTATTCCCCCCAAAATATAGATGGTCAATCCTTCTGTGGGCAGATTCTCATATAGATGAGAAAACCAAATTAAAATTTATAATAGCTTCACGATATTTTATTAAATTTCAGCACTTGAACTATGATGTGTAACTGCTTTTTGTTTTACTATTCTATTTTTCATTTATTTGATCATATTTTCTGCTTGCTCTTTTTTTTTTTTTTTTTTCTATATGATTTATTTTCAATTTATTTTTGATTATATAATCCACTTATTTTTGTGGAATGGGGTGTGTTGAATGTTTATAATAAACAGTTATGACTACCATTTTATACATAATATGAATATGTTGAATTGATGGTTTTGAATAACTGCATTTTACATTGTATCTTTTCTGTTTTACAGATCCTAGCAAAAATGTATCTGAAGTCTGGGTGTCACGTCAAAAGCTGGAGGACCTCTACAAGAAGTTATTGATAATGGATCTGGAATATGCCTTGGACAAAAAAGTAGAACAAGATCTGTAAGTATTTAATTACTGTTGTTTGGTTCTTCATAATGATCAAACACACTGATAAAGAAAGGATGGCTTGATTACTTTATTAAATCTTATATTATTCAGACTTTCTGACATATGTGCAGGCTATTGTACTGTTAATATTACTGCTTATTTGTAATTAATAGCTCAGGAGACTTTCACTGTTGGTACTATAAAGTAACTTTTTCTGTTTCTACTTTTATAAATTAACAAACAGTAATAAAAAGCTACAATAGTCAAAAAAATGAAAAAGGAGCTCTTATTTGCTATTTATTGTTTTTAATATATTTTTTAATATGAATAATGGTTTATTCTTCACTGATAAAATTGGTCTATATTAGCAGTCTCTGAAATTTTCAATATGAGGGCCACAGTCTATAGTTTACAAAGTTTTACAGATTAAAGAAGAAAAAAAAAATTTTTATAAAACTGATTTAAAAGAAAAAAAAAAAAAGAATTCTTTGTGTGTACCTGGAATTTTTGAAAAACAAAAAGAAAATGACTCAGAATAAATATGACTTTTATTTCTTTGGGAAATGTTTTAAGTGTTTCAAGGGGTTCAATTTACGATGTAAGTAAAATTATAAACTGGGTTCTTTGTTTTTATGCAAGTAGCATTACTTTTTTGTTAGTCTATAACATCTTTAATTTTAAAATATGGAAACTTAAAAAGATTTTTTAAAAAATTCTATTTTTTTCCCCACTGTCACTAGGATCTCAATTTGTAGCATTATGAAAACCTCAACCTTTCAACTTTATCTTTGATTATAACTCTTTGAAATAAACTGTTTTCTTTTTAAGCCTTTCTTAATTTTCATACACATTTGCATAATTACAGACACAAAATCAGGGTTCAAATAAGCAGTATATTTACATTGTAATATTGAAGGTAAAATTTACAATATCAGGATCCAGATTGGCACTATATGTACATTTTAACTGAAACACTGATTTAATGCCATTTTGATCACTTTCACTTGAAAATCATTTTTTTAAAAAATGAAAAATTTCTTTAAGAAATATCTTTTTCATATATAAAATTTTTTTTTTCTATTTTAGCTTAAATGACTCTTATTTCAGTTAGATTAATAATATATATTTTGAACCAGCATCATCTGGGGAAGGCATTCATTCTATTTGTTTAGTCCAATCACAATTTGGTTTTAAAATTAATGTTTGAAAACAGAGGTAATTATTCACACAGAATAGAACTGTAGGTTCAGATTAGAACTTTTAGCAAGGGTTGTTTCATTTTCATTTCTTTTTCTGATGTTTTGAGAATATTATTTCACTTTCCTCACTCATAAAGTGATGTTTGTGTTTCTTAGTTATTTTTCTTTTGTTTTATGTATCATGAGTTCAACTGAAATTGCTCGAAACTTTTATGGTGTATAATAATATTTACAATGTTTTTGTATCTCTTTAGAAGAGTCTATTATTAAAAGATGCTTAACCTTTCTCCAGTAGCGTGTCATTCAGTGTCAATTCATTTAATTCATGAATTGATAATTTCAGCAATTTAAAACAGTATCTACTGTGAAGATTTTTTCATCAGGGAATATTTTAGTAATGAATCATGGTTCTTGGGGTACCTGTGTACTTTCTTGCATCTTTCCAGACTCCTAGCCTTTATGGACTTTTTTTTTTAAAACTGGAATCACCCCATGTAAGGCAGTATTGTTACTAAGACACAAGTGGGTACAGGGTATGGAAGAATTAGGAACAGAAACAATAATGATGAGCAGAAAGAAGAGAATAATCAGGTGGACAGTAGATAGCAATTGACATTGCATTTAAATCTTTGCAGATTAAAGTTAGCTAGAAAGCATGAAGTTGGAAGGGAGTTCTACAAGTGAGAAGTGTGAGAGAAGAAACTGTTAGCATAGAATTTATAGCTACATTTTGCCAGCTTAACTGTAAATTGATAATGATTCACTATTGTCTTGCATAGTATGTTTGTCAAACTCTCTGCCTTTGGGCATAGAGGAAGCCAAACGAGGCTATGTTGAAGGGCAGAGTCTTGTCTGGAGTGGTAGACAGCTACCGACCCCACAATAAACTTGGCCTTGTGCCGCAACCGACCACATGGGGCAGTAGGTGAATATCTTCACATCATTTGTTTTAGTAGTTGGTGGGAAGTTTTAGTTGAAATTTTACTGCAAGTTTTGATCCTCTACTAGTAAAAAGAAAAAAAAATTCTGCTTTCCTGTAACTCGTTTATTATTTAAAATCAGTGAGAAAAATAAATTGGTATTAAGAGCGAAAATAACTTTATGAAAAGAATGTGTCTGTCTGGATTGATCAGTATTTATTCTCATGTGTATTATAGATTTTATTTTTAGTTGACTAAAAGATTTCCTTTATTTTTCTCTTTGATCATTCTCTTTATAAACCTTAACTAAATTGGCTTCGATAGAATCTCGGACATCTTAGCTATTCATCTTCTGCTTTAATCATTTAATTAAATTTTTTTAAAGATCATATAATAATTTAAATCAACTTGGTAAGTGGTATAAATTTAACTCTGAAATGTTATATTATGTTTAAGTGTTCATGCTTACCACATTGGGTAAAGTATCCTTAATCATTTTTAGTCAGGAATAGCAAATTTAAAAAATATATTAAATTATAAAATTGAAATATTTGTTTGCTAGTTTTCATTTTTTTTAAAAGTTTATTTTCATATCTAAAATCAGTTTCCTTGATAGGATATTACATACATTTATCTATATTTAGGTTCTATATAAGTTTTAGAAGAGGCTTAGCTGATGATATTATTGAAAATATTTGTATATACAAATGTTTCTGATATTATTTCACCTTGTTTACTGCAAATGATTATTTAGCCTTGGAAAGCAGTTGCTTTGATGCAGCTGTACCTACATTTCAGTCTGAAACAAAAGCAAATATTTTTTTGCAGAGACAATTTGTAGTATTTGCATAATATACAATTATAGTATCTTTTTCAGTAGAGATGAATTTTTTGCTGACAAGGTTGAACAAAAACAAAATGTATTAGAGAAAGAAAAATCAGGCAATGTCCAATGAATAAAATATATTTACTAAATTGAGCTAAGTCTGGTTGAAGTTCTAATGTAGTGGCAGAAGTAAATGAGAGCCCCAATCTATCTAATCTTTTCCTAGACTATGCCCTACACATATACGAACACAGATGTGAAGAGATGGGTGCTGATCATTTAAGCATTCCATAACACATCACAAACGAATCTGCTAATAGTAAACAATATTCCTGCTGTCCTTCCTGAGGTCAATATACTGATAAGAGAGGGTGTGTCAATGATATAGGTATTCATAGCAGGGATACAAAAGGATCTTGAACAAAAAATCAGCATCTTCTACCACGTGTTCCAAGAAATAGAACTCAAAATAAAACTACCCAAAACAGAAACTATAATCTAGAATTGAAATGAAAGCAGTGATGACACCTTCCCTAAATGCATCATAAAAATTCAAGACGTGAAATTAATAAATACTAAACACTTCAAATACCTCAATCTATTGATCAGTTATAATAAATTTAGTAGTGGAGATAAGGACATTGAATATAGTCTGTGGTAGAGGTACTTTTACCCAACACTGTAAATATTAACCTAAACATTTGAGTCATGTCATAGCCTCATCAGATCAAAACTTTCATATTGATGGCATGTATTACACCAAAATCATTCAGAAATATCTAAATTTTCATCTGTATACAACCACTTTCTCAGGTCAATGACTAAAAATGGCTTCAAGCAAATGAAGCCTGTAGGTCTTAGTGTGGACGATCCTTAGAAAAAATAACATAATCATAATGTTGACATTCCACCCTACTTCAAACAAAAGGTTAGAAAGGAAGCCCTTCATCAATACTGGGAAGAGCAATAACAACTAGTGGACTTGAGAAACCTATTTTCTTATTTTAATAGAAAGATTTTATAAATTTCAACTGGAAGCAGCACTGGCTGCTCAGTCATTGAATGCCAAATGTGTCCTAATAAGGGAATGGCTAATATTACATTTACTATTGCTATATTAAGGATTGAACTTGTTAATTGATCTGCAAAATAAGCACTCTAACCATCAGACTACTGTAGGTGTCTGTGAATACAAGGTGATTATATACTTCATTAGCTGATAACACTTTTCTGATAACAAGTTGTTCTATGTTTGTAATAATGTAGTTTCAAGTAGCAAATATGTATCTAAGTCTTAAAGATGGAATGTCATTCATTAAAAAGAACCTGAAGTTAACAACAGGGAGAAATTTTGTGATTTAGCTTAGTGATATTAGTTTCTGTTAAGGTTATGTAAACAGTCTGTAACAGTTTATTTAATTCGTTATTGATAATATTTTTAAGCATTTTAACTAGGCCAGGTATATGAATGTATATATTTGATAAAATCAATTTTGCCAATTAGTAGTGGCTCTATCTGTTTTACATTTTTATTTTTAAAATGGTTAATTATATTTAATTAAATCTATTTTTTTTTTAAGAAAAGATACCTTGGTTAAATCTGTATTATATTGCTTTTGGTTTTAAGAAGGAATACTTTGGCTAAATCTCTATCAAATTTTCTGCCACACTCTGCCTATGTAGCAATTAAGATTTCTTTTCAATAACAAAAGTTCCAAGTAGTTTGCATGCTTCAGCAGAATCAAGAGAGCCCATTGCAAGGTTAAATTCTGTGTTGTTTCTTTTGGTCCACAGATAACCATTATGATATAGCATAGATTTTTGCACCTGCTTTATAATTTCAATCTGCTTTTCTGCTTTGGGAATTATTTCTTTAGCCATCAATTTTAGGTTTCAGCCAAAGATTTAAACTGTAAGCAAATCTTTGACAACCCATTAGCAATCTAAACCACTTAACAAGTGCAGTATGTCATTGAGATATTTCTATGAACTAAGCTGCTTTATTCTCACAGTCCTAAGTATTCATTTACATTAACTTATTCACTATTGCTCAGGCATGATATGATTTTGATAATTATATGAAAACTAATGTTACCAATATGCAGTAGATTCTAAAAAGGGAAATATATTTATCAGTATTCATGGGTAGAACATTACAGATGTCAGTGATTATCTTATTTGTGTAGGCAGACACGATTAGTTTAGTATAATCTTACAAAACTTGGTAGATGTGCTCATATGGTAACTATTTACAAGTGATAAGTGATTTTTTGTTTTTGTTTTTTTTTATAAAGGGAGCAAATTTAGAGATTAAATATAACATGATGAATGCTGTGAAGATTGGTATTGTTGCAAGATTTAGTGTTCGTGTTTCATTATTGAGTGTATTTTTTCTTTGTTTACCTATTGATTATAGAATCTTAATATACATTGTGGAAAAAGAAAAGTTTGTCACAACAAAAGGAATACTCTGCTATGTAACCAATTTAGGCACTATTGTGCTTCAAATGATGTTTGTAGTCAATATCTTGTCAGCTGGTTTTTATGATTAATATTGTGGATGTTAAGTCTTATTACAATAAAGCCATAAATATTGATTTATGTGTTGTACAAGTTTTGTATGGCTTGAGAAATATTTTCTTTAACTGAGAAAAATAGCAACAACTGAGTCGAAAGACACTTATTGATGACTATTCACTTTTTAAATTGTGTGCTTTGTTTTATTAAAATGTTTATATAAATGTCAATGGCAGGCCATTTTAGTAAGGAGAACAGATTTTTAGGGCTTGGGTAGGGAATGATATATAACATGACTATTTTTTCTTTAATCATTTCACCTCAAGCAAAACAATAAAGCCACTAAGATGTAGGGAGTTACTGAGTGTGAAAGAATATAAGAAAAAGAAAAACATTAAGGAGAGAGAACAATAAAAGAACAGGAATTAAAAATGCAGAAGATAATGATTGATATTGCATTTAAATTTTTAAAGATCAAACTTGACTGGAAAGAGAGAAGCCTAAAGAGAGTTCCACAAGTGAGAAAAGAAACTGTTAACATAGAACTTAGTTACATTTAGCCAATTCAGCTGTAAAACAATGACTATGCCATCATTCTAGTACTGTGCTTATTGCCAATAGCAAATCTTCATAATAGTACAAAAGTATGCTTAACTACAATATCTGTAATTAAAAAGACATATTTTGATAATACCAAATTTGTGATTTCTTGTAGTTGGTAATTAATAAGTTTATAATAAATTCAGCTTTATTATAATTGAATAGCATCATCTCTAATTCTTGCAGTTCCCTTTTTTTACTGATAATGCATTACACTTAGTTCTTCTTTTTTAGTGGATAATCTATTTTTGGCTTCCACAATACTATTTAAAATTTTTATATCCACTTTTCATTATAATGAATATATTTGCATCAAATTACAATCTCATTTGCATTTTCAAATATTTGAATCAATGATAGAATTTCACCCATATTCATCATTGTGTTGGTTTAGTGTTCATTGTCAATCAGAAAATTAACAATTAGTAACCAGATAAGGTAATTTTCTTTTTATTCTTTCTTTCCAAATAAAATTCAGCCTTAGATTAAGTATAGTTTAGATTGTGTTTTTCAATTTTTATTTGCTATCAATATTTTTGATTTCTCCTCACTAAAAACCATTCTTTTATGTAACACACACACACAATTTTTGATGTTTAACAAATTTGTGTCTTTTCTAGGTGGAACCATGCTTTCAAAAATCAGATCAATATACTACAGACCCAGGCTAAGGACAATCAGGTGAGGGTACGGACCTATTTTTTTACTTAATTTTTCTTCAAAATCTTTTCTAATATAGAAACATTTACTTGTAAAAAATTATGTTTTTAGTCAATATTTTCATAGATTGTGGAATATAAAAATCTAGTTTAGAATAGCAGATAACTAGATATTTTATGATATTCTTTGTCAGAGCAACAGTCAGTTTCTGTCTGTAACATTACTTGAGACTGAAGTTAGCTGATTTCCTGGTAGGTGTGGTTATTTACTTTTCACCAATGCTAGTTCTAGTTCAAGATTTTAAATGCTTTTATTTTTTTTTAATTTACTTTTTAATTTTGAGGCAGTTGGACCTTCTCCATTTAAAAGATTGACACTATACAATTTTCACACATCTCTCTCCATTTGGTATTCTATTAAATTGACAGTCAATATAGATTTGTTTTGTAGTTCAGCCTGCATAAAAATTGAATTTGAAATGCTGATTTTTGAAGTAGGCAATCACTGCCTGCTTGAAATATTGGTTCAACACAATATTTATGCTCATTTCTTGTAGCCTTGTGCCTGACTAAGTTAAGTTAATAAATATCTATTTGAAGTGTAAGCGTTCTCAAAGCAAATTTGTTACTTTCACAACACAAAGAAAAAATCACTTGGTCAGGAAAATAACTTCCTCTCCAACAAACGCCAGAGCCAAAAATGCCCGAATTTTCCTTCCCCCACGGGCGTTTGTTGGAGAGTGAGTTATTTTCTGACGCTACATAAAGTGATTTTTTCTTTGTGTTGTGAAAGTAAAATTTGCTTTTGAGAACGTTTACACTTCAAGCTATTTCGGCAGATCGCACACAAAACACGAACTTTTTTCCGGGGTACCTGATTATCTCATTCACTACGCTATTCAAAATATAATGAGTAGTAAGTGTGAAGTTTATTGAAAATCATCTTTTGTTATTGAAGTTGGGTGATTATTGGATACTTTTTCTATACAAATATATTAATATAATATTTTATTATATTTTTAAAAGAATTATTAAAAATGTTTTTGAAAATGCATGCATTTTAACTGTCATTTATATATTCTTCATAGATTAAAATATATAAAGGTGGATCAAAAAGCCAGCAGCCTAATATACTTATTTACTGAATTTTGATTTTAAAGTTTTTAATGTCTAATGTTTGATCTATGTGATGTCTCTGAATTAAGTATATTGACAAAGATTATACTGAAAATATTTGTAAAATTGCTGCACTTTTTCTTTTTTCATTTTAATGTAACTATGCACTTATGTAATGATTTTATTATTCATTTGTTAGTAAAGAACTTCAACCTTATGAAATAATTTGTATCTTCTAATAATGCTTCAATGCTTATAAACTATAGATTTATTTGGGCAAATTATTTTGATGTTACAAGGATGTATAAAACAATACTTAGATAAAAAAAAAAAAATATGAATAATTGCTTCCTGAATATTGGATATTATAAATAAAACTAGTTTACCCATGCTATCAAAAATGACAGTATATATGAGATTGATATTTTGTTTACACTTTGTTAGGTTTTTCTGAATTTATATCCAGACAAGTTTGATTAAATTCTCTCAACAAGGTCTATCTATTCAATATTTTATATTTGTCTGTACATTGAAATTAGTCATGAATAAATTGTCGAAAGTTTTTTTTTTTCCAACAATCTAAAAACGCTACAATTTAGTCAAATAAATTTTCCATACCATACTGATAACACCTGTTTTTAACAATAACTGTGATAGTTAAAAAAAAAAATACTTGAATATAATAAGAAAAAAACCTGAACTTTGGGCAATTTATTCATGACTTCAATCCAAATGTACAACACCTTATTTCGAAATTGAAAATATATAAGTTGAATAGACAGACCTTGTCAGAAACATGTAGGTTGAATTTAATAAAAAAAAAATTTAGGTGTGAGGAGTTCCAATTACTATTGTTGTACTCTTTTATGAAGTTTGTCCCTGCTTTCTGGATTCATAATCATCTTAGAACATTCTGCCATTGTCAAAGCCAAGGACACTACCACTAGGTTTTCAACAGTGCAAGAGAGATGATTCTAGTACAGTAAAAAGATGAAAATACACAAATGTATTTGCTATATTATAGATTATTTCCTGTAAATAGTACCTATGTTAAAAGATGTTCATGAATTTAAATTGTACTATTCATAACAGTGAAGAAATATATTAAAATAAATAGCAAAATCTCTTCCACAGAAAGTTTGCTTTTGTTTTTAATTTTGCATTGTTGTATAGATCTTTTCATTTTTTTAATGTAAGAATGTCTTAAAAATCTAATCTATCTTTTTGGTGCCATAGAAAATGTAAATAAAATTTTTTAATACTAACCTGTTTTAAAGATCATCTGCAATTCATTTCATTTAATGGTTAATTCTTAAAATAAGAATTATTATTTAAAAAAATAGTTGCTTAGATCAATTGATTTTTCAAAATATTTAATTTTAAATTTAATTAAGAACAAATGTAATATGATGGCAGGCTTAGTATTCCTTTAGTGTTTCATCTTCCAAGATAATGCCTTGTTCTCTGAGATTATTAGTTATTGATATTCTGAAATGCTTTTGACTCTTTTCCAGTATGAAAGACTGTTTTGTTTTTGATCAACTGGCAGAAATAGCAGAGAGCAAGTAATATCAAAAACTGAATCCTGAAGGTTTAACCTGCATTTGTGCGACACACAAACAAAACTAAGATTGTCCTCATTTAAAACATATCTGGTTCATTGTACTTTTTGTATTTCACTTTTAAGCTTTTTTAAATTTTTAAATTACTTGTTAAAAATTTCAGTTTTTTAAAGCAGAATTAAAGAACTGCTATAAGTTTAATTTAGGCCTTGTACCTGTTACATATGGTAACAAAGTGATAATTACATTCACATTTTTGATTTTTCATTTATTCAAGGTTCAGTAAAACCATACATCATCTGAAATATAATATTTAACAAAATATTACAATAATTTGCAAATTTCCTCATTTTTGCAGAATCCTAAAAGGCTAGAGGTCCAAGCAAGTTTAAATCTATTTTTGGAGACAGCTAGTGGATTCTATCTTCAGGTATTTTTCCTTTTCTTTCTCTCACTGTTTTGTTTTTTGTTTTTTTTTAAATGAAAGTCTTTTGTAAGAATTAATATAGCTTATTGGATTAACTACTCCATTTTTAGGATTTCAGTAATTTTATTTTTACTTCAGATTTTTTTTTTTTTTTTTTTTTTTTCACAAATCTTTTCTTTCGACCTCAGCATTGAGAGATATGCTTTATTTAATGTCATAAAATGTAGATCATAATTAACTAATTTGTAATACCAAATTGAAAAAGTCTATTCTTGTTAAGTTTTACCAATATATAATTAATTTAAGATTATAAGTATTTGAGCTATTGAATAATTGATTCCTTTTTTTACTTACAGTTACTACAGCTGTTATGTGCAACCTTCAAGCTAGATCTGCCTTTCCGGCGGAAGTCTTCAGCCTATGGGATTATGAAAGGTAAAATTCTTTTCTCTTTTACATTATTCCTTGTATCATTTATAAAATCAGATTTTTTTACTTTTAAACTTCCAAATAATGTGCAGTAGTTTTTATTTTTTTTTATTATGACCATTGTCTATGTAGGTGTGAGTATTTTTTTCATCTCCTTTTTAAATTTTCACTTCAAATTTTTCATTATTTTCATTATAGAAAAAAACCCTTTGAAGGCCAAGATTACCCCTCCAAAAAAGAACTCTTGTCTCTATATCTGCCAGCATTGCCTTGTTCATTTGGGAGATATTGGTAAGTTAATAGCATTGCTATTTTTTTTATTATTGTCACGTGCTTGTTTATAGTAACTTAAACTTCTATTCATTATAATACAAAAAAACACTGCTGATTGTTGCAATGTTACAATTATATTTATTTTAAAGATCTTTACAATATTTACTTATTTTGTTAATGTAATTTAAGATTAATTTATATTATACAAACAAGTATCTCTTTTACTAAAAAAAGATCTTATGATGATCAATTTATGGCACCTAATTGTTACATATCCCATAAGTTTTTCATAATTATTTGATGTTATGCATTAATTCTTTTTGTTATTAATGATTGAAGTCTGTTAACAAAATAACATAAATCTTAAATGAAAAATATTTTATTTTTGAGCTTAGATTTAAATTAACTGTACTCTTTTCAGAATTATTTTAGTTTATTGCTTATTTTGCTAACATAAGAGAAAGATATAGCAAAAAAAAAATTTTCAGCACCTGCTCATACAGTAATATCTTTTTTGAAACTCTGCAGCAACAAATTATATGACTGTAATTGTTTATATTTGCAGCCAGGTACCGGCAAGAGGTAGATCAGGCTCAGACTTATTATTGGCATGCTGCTAACCTTGTACCTTCAAATGGTAAGTGATTCAAAATTACCCTAATTTCTATACTAATGATGTGATTTGTTGTTGGATTGTTGCATGGAAGTGCTAAAAAGTTCTTGGCCTGACCAAGAAGGGAATAACCTAGAGCCATGAAATGTAAGTTTGAAAACAGAAAATAGTCATATGAAGCAAAATCTGGTGAGGAGAATGGAAAGTCTATGCACTCAAAATCCAATTTCTTCAAAACCTGCATCATTTTGCCAACCTCCTGAGCAAGACTCAATTATTCTTTAGGCTAGTTTAGGTTGCAACCTAAAGCCTAAAACTTTTATAAATCAGATTTTAATTTTCTAGATGTTATAACTTTTAAATAGTTTCATAAACTGAAATGATATCAGTATGATAAACTCATATTTATTTTGTTTTATTCTTATAATGCTGATTATAAAAAAAAGTCTTTTTTTTTTTTTTTTTTTTTTACTACATTTGTGCTGAAATTTGTGCTAATTTGGTTTGCAATAAATAGCAAAATAGTGATATTTCTTAAAGAATATTTTTATTGACAAAAATTGCTATTCTAGTTTATTTAAAGAATTTGCAATAAGTTTACTTCAATTTATGTAAATTTTGCTAAAATTTATCAGAAGTATGTGTATATATATATATATATATATATATATATATATATATATATATATATATTTTAAAACCTGTACAGGTAAGTTAGAGGCCAACTCTGAGGGTTGGGTGTGGGGCATAATTTAATTAGCCCTTCAAAATGTCATAATCTGGCTTACTCCAGAGTATTGTCCTGCAAAAGAAGAACACCTATCCTTACTATTTTCCTTTTAGTTGCCTCCATTAATTGGTACTACAAGTTAGAGTAGTATTCTGCATTAAATGTTTAGCCTTACTGAAAATAGTTGTTCTCAAAATACTATGACCTTGCTGATTTTTGGTCTTGAATTTCTTTGGCTGTAGAAAACTGAAGTATTACCTGTGTGTGACATCTGTTGGTCTTGAAACCTTGTATCTGTGCCCAAAGAGTAATGTCCCAACTGCTGATGGCAGTGTAGCATCTGTTATGGCTGTACAGGCCCACATGGGAGTGACAGTCTTGATTACAATGAATGCATGTAAAGATACTCTCTCCTGAAGTCACCTTGTTTTCTTTCTGTCAAGCATGCTTCGCCCTGGTGGCAAGCTTTCATTTCTCCTCTCCTTGCTCTAGCCTTCAGTGTAAATTGTATCACTAGTGGAAGCGATTATTTGTTTTTTTTTGTTTTTTTTTTTATGTTTTCCTACCTCTTGATGAAATGGAGACAGGTGGTAGCTGTCTGTTGAAAGCAACCCCAAGTGTCTTGCACCATGCCAATCAAGTGTGACTTTATAACTGGTAGACTGTTGTTTCCCATGTTTTGCTGTTGTTGTGAGGTGACACCGGGGTGTCCTCTCTTAGGCACAGGCCTGGGCAGGGTTTGATGAAAGATTGGTGGTTGTCCATGCAGCATGTCTTCCCTCTCATGCCACTGATGTTGTCCCAGGGAAAGGCAGTGGCCAATACAACTTATCACCAGTGTCATCATAGGAGTTGCCAGAACAAAGTTGAACATAATGTTGGACTGCTAATTTACAGAATTTTTTTTCTGTTACTTTTTATCAACAGAAAGTATAAATTTTTTAAGTGTTGAAGACTGATTGGTCACAAAATTCCTGTTTCTGCAGAAGAAAATTGCAAAGAAAACCAATGAGTGTATGATGAAAACACTAGGTGACAAGTAGCCATAATACTCAAATGTGGAGAAGTGGTTTGCAATTTTTAGCATGAAGATTATGAGAGCCAAAATGCAGCACAGTCTGAGAGGCTGTCAGCAGTGTCAGCTATGGAAATTGACAATCATAATTTTAACAAATCTTGTTCAAAAAAATCGTGTTATGCCATAGATATCTAAAGAATGTTGGGCTTATAATTCATAAAAAGTTGGGTATACAAAAAGCTGTTGGCCGAGTGAATACCAAAATATTTGGATGCTGACAAGAAAAGATATTGAGCGGAAACTTTTACATTGATTTTGAAATATTTTCAGTGATTTGCAGATCTTTGTTTGGAAGGACTTTTCACTGTTGACTAAACATGATAAGGATTTGGAGATCAAACAATAGTCCATGCAATGCTAATACTTTAGTAGATTGAACTCCTCAGTCTGGGAGGATAGTCCCTCTAAGAGAAGGAAAACTCTGATTTTTAAACTCCTGCTGCTTGCAGTGATGGAAAAAGCTTTGGGGGTAAACTCTGAGGACAAATCTAGAGCCATCCTTCTTCATTAGATATCCCAGAAATCTCAACTGTTTCTTTCTGATTTTAATCTTTCTGGTTCCAATTTTCTTGGTGTTCACGGCATCTATTGATGGTATTCTCAGCATCCTTCTGTAGAATCACATCTGTTGCTTCAAGCCTTCTCATCATCTTGCCTAGTAATCCTTGCCATATGGGAGGATTGTTCAGCACTCTTTTATTTGCTTCTAATGAAATATCTTAATATTCTTTCACTATTCAGTTGTGTTTTTGAATCTGTGTTACACTTTTCATCATCTGTTATTGCACTATTGAGGTAGTTAAATTTGTGTACCTGTTTTGTTTTGATATCTCCAATTCGAAGTTTATGCCTTTGGTTGTCTTTCTTGCTAATGTCTTGTAGTTAATGTTTAGTCCTAACTTTCCTTTGCTACCTTCTCAAAGTTTTTATACATTTCCTTCTGAGTTCACTGTCCACACAGTGTCAACTGCATATCTTATGCTGTTAAGATTATGGTCACTGGTAATAAATCCTGTTAAGTCTTTTAGTTCTCTTAGACTTGTCTTGTAGTATTGATGAAATAAATCTAGTGAGAAAATGCATACTTGAGTTACTCTTTGTTCTATTTTTGTGTACTTGCTTAATACATTTCCTATTAGCCTGCCAGCATTTTGTTCTCAGTAAGTGTTGTGAATTATCCTAATATCTTTTCCATGTAAACGGAGCTTGCCTAGCAGTTCAAGTAGGTTTTTATGTTGTACATTGTCAAATGATTTTGCATAATGTAGCAGGCATAGAAATAGTTTTTTTTCCTTCCAATCTTGGGAAGTGGGTCAAGCCGAGAACTTTTCAGCATTCTTTCATAAAGCATACCTTTTTTTTCTTAAACTTTTGTCAACAAGTTTTCAGTGCAATGAAACAAAAATAACATGACATTTTAATTTAAGTTAGACTTCAGAATATACCATGCAATATTTTGTGTATTGTGTGAAAATGTAACTTTTGTTTGTAGTTTTAATAACTTCCATCTACTTTCATTGTCAGTCTTAAAATTTAATTACATAGTAATCAGCATTTATGTAGATATTAATTTTGGTAAATTTAATATGTATATTTTCGTCCATTAAGTAAATCTGAATAAACAGCTTTTAAGAAGCAATCACATATTTTAAAATTTGATTAAAAAATGTTTTTCCCTAGTTTATTGTTCACTAGTCATATGGACAGTCGTGTATACTTAAGTCAACAATTACTTGCTAAATTTACCTATGAAAAAATTTAAATGCCACTATTTTGTTTTGGAAAACATTATTATAAAAAATTGCAATTTACACTCCCCCCCCTATACAGTACGTAAATATATCATTGCAATTATTATTTTATTTTTTAGGACAGCCCTATAACCAACTGGCTATATTGGAAGCAGCTCGTGGGAACAAGCTAACAACAGTGTTTTATTATATACGTAGCCTTGCAGTAAGGCATCCTTTTCCTGTTGCAGCCACTAATTTGGAGAAATTCTATGGCAAACTTGCTAAAGATTCGTATGTACATTTTTTTTTTCTAAATCTTCTTACTAAATTTTATTTTTGAGTGCATCCCATTGGCTATTGTTTTTTTCTCATGATTAAAGAAACTGAAAATTTAAAACATTATTTGATTTAATATTTAAAATACTTTATACTAAACAGTAGATATAGCTTGTGATAAAATTAGTATGAAGTAGAAATACTATTTAAAAATAATTTTAAGATACCACATAAAAATAATCTTGTTTATACAGTAGTACCCACCACCACTATTTATCCATGTAAGTTATATTCTAAGAATCTAAGCAAATACCCAGAACAGGATAGTACCAAATCTTCTCTCTCTCATAACTCATACACTACACAGTGAATGTTTATTTATGATAAATGCTTAATTTATAAGTTAGGTGCAATAAAAGATTTACAATAATAATATAAAAGAATAAAAACGAATAATGATAATTGTAACACTATACTAGATTGAAAGTTATATGATGGATAAAAGATACATTCTTACTATTCATCTTAACAACTTCAGCATATGATTTTTTTTTTTTTTTTTTTTTTTATTAAGAACTTTCACATTTTTACTTAGTTTTATAGCTTCTCTTTGGGAGGTTCAACTTGGACTTTGGGGCAATTATGAATTATTTCTGGGGATTGACTGCAGGTAATAGAAATCACTGAAATTTTGGGAGTCACTACATATAAAAAATATGGTTACTAAAGGAATATAACTGATATGAAGAATCTCAATGATTCTTACTTGTAGTTAATTTTTAATATGCAATTTTGTCATTTTTGTTGTTCTTGTCAAGTATTAATTTTCTACTGTTAATCAATTATTTCTTTAGTTCTACATTTGTCTCTCTACAAGTGAATCTACACAAAGTTGATTGTATTACAAATCTGTCAGGATATGGGTAAAGCATAGTATGGATATACCTATCTGCAAGTTGAAATAGTCTGCTTTGTTCCTTACTTACCACTCAACTTTTCATTTCACATTGATAAAAAACATCATATATTTTCCAGAACAATATTTAAAGTAAGTTATATCTAACCTTTAATATTAGTTTAAAGGATAGATATCACTCCACAAGACACAGCCTAGCAGATTAAAGCATTGGTTTGTGAATTTGGTGATACAGTAATTGTGAGTTTAATGCCTGGGCAGGGCAGTGTGTACTTGCAGTCAATAGAAATAGGGTGAGCAATAACTGAGCAGCTAAGATGAAATACCCCTAGACATGGGCAGGGGAATGATAACAATCTACCCTTGTAGATTAGAGGACTCAGTTTGAAATTCCCTTTAGGTTATCCAGATCAACATATACCTGATGATGAAAGCCAAAGTACACAATGAATGAAATGTGGTACAACAAAGATGAGGACAATAGTTCACATGTAAATAGTGTAAATAAATATATCACTCAATTCACTAAAGTGTTTTTTTTTTGTTTTTTTTTTAATGTTTAACAGAATTTTATTTACCTTGTAATGAATTAAACTTAGTATTTGATTTTTTTTTTATACAATCTTTTTCTCTAGATTAGAGAAGAAAATATAATTAATGTTGGATTATTTTTGTTTTAATTTGTATTATAAATTTTCATTCTATATTTTATTTTTCAGTACTGACTTTAAGGGCAAGCTCTCAATGAGTGAAGTGATTGCAGCTTTTTTACAATTCCATGCTCTTATACACCTGAATGCTGGTAAAAACACATTTTTTATACATTTGTATACTTATTTTGATAAACTACACAGTTTTCAAAAGTATAAACACATTATTTCCCTGTGTGTGTTTTTCTCGTCATCTTTATGTGCTGTGTCCCCTCAGGAAGTAGGTGATCATGGCTCTCCTCATTTTCCTGTCCTTTGTAGCTCTTAATAAATTTTGTCTTTTTGTTATTTTTCCTAAACTCTGTTCTGCCATCCATTTACTTCAGCTCATCAAGTATGTTATGTGCTGTTTTCCTCTGTCCCTCTTACCCTCAATCTGTCCTGTGAGCATCAGATTTTCCAAGTATTCCTTCCTCATTATGTGCCCCAGAAATTTCAACTGTCTCTTCCTGATGTCAAGTATGTTTCTTTTTGTTTCATTTTCTCTAAAACCTCATTGTTGCTCACATGTTCGATCTATGAGATCCTCAGCATCCTTCTATAGAACCACTTTTCTGTTGTTTCAAGTCTCTTCATCTTTTTAGGGGATTGTTCAGCATTCGCTGCCATATAAGATATCATGTAACAGTTCAGTACTCTTTTCTTTGCTTTTAAAGAAGTTTTTCTGTCTCTTAATACACTGCTTAGCTTTTGGAATGCATCTTTTGGTTATCCCAATGCATCTTTGAATTACATGTAACACACTCTGTCCTCTGTTAGAACACTTCCCAGATATTTAGATTTTTGTGCTTGTTTGATTTTATTATCTCTAATTTGTAATTTTGCATTTTGCTAACAACCATGCATTCTGTCTTCTTGCAGTTTATGTTTAGTCCTTTCTTCACACTTTCCTTCACTTCTGTAGGAACCTTTGTAGTTTTCTTTCTGTGTTTGCTATCAGCACTGTCATCTGCATGTCTTATGTTAAGTTTGTGACTGCCAATAATGAATCCTGGTAGGACTTCTAATTCTCTCAGAATCACCTCACTGTATAGGTTGAATATGTCCAGTGAGAAGACACATCCTTGTCTTACACCCCTTTCTATTTTTGTATATCTACTAAACTCATTTTTTTATCCATATGCAGACAGTTTACTGCCAGTATAGGTTCTTGATTATTCTAATATACTTCCCAAATATGTCAACTGCTGAGCAGTTCCAACAGATGTGTGTGGCATACTTTATCAAATGCCTTTGTGTAATTTATAAAACATAGGTACCCAAAACTTCTAGTGCATTCCAACTCACCATAAAGCAGTGAATTTTTCCAAACAGGTCAATGATCATCTAAAAAAATTTAAATTCCCATTTTAAACTTAAGATTGTCTAAAATGAAAGAAATTGAACAATTTATAATTTAAATTTATTTCAAGTTTACATATAAAATTGGCCCACTTGTTTGTATATGAGTGTGTGTGTGTATATATATATATATATATATATACACACACACATACACAGATTACTTTTTGGTTATTTCAGATTTTGACAGAGCTGCTGGTCTTTCTGAAAAACTGCTCAGTAGTTTGCCTGCTCATGTAACATCACAGAGCTTCTCCACACCCATGCTCATCCAGATCATTGCTATCAACCTTTTTACTATGCACCATGCTAAACGGCAGATGAATGATGGTGTTTTTGAAGCAACAGGCCAGAATGAAAAGCAGGAATACTTAAGTAAAGATGAGGAGAAAGGCTTTGAAATGGCTTTCAATTTCACAGGTAAGTATTAAAAGACGTATTAATAGGCAAAAATATTTTCTATACTTGTACTTGAGTAAACTTGTTAAATAGCATTAAAGATTGATGGTAATTCAGTAGTAACTTATTTTTTTTATGTAGACAATTTATTATTTTTGAGAAATCAACAACTTTTGTCCTTCAAAGTGTCTCTGAAGAATTCTGAGTCCCAAATTTGCAGCAGATAACATATAGAAGATATCTTATGATTCATGGTTTTATTGGGAAAATCCCATTTCCAATAACTGATTTGTGCTATCTTTAATATAACACATAGTCATTTGGTCTGTAAATGATTTTTATTTAGTCCTAAAGCATTGACAGTTTCATAACCACCACTAATAAATCTGATATGTGAGAACTTCAAAGTAATCATTCGCTGTCCACAAGGAAAAAGTCAATAGAATAAATAAAAAATTTCAGGATTAAGTGTCAATCGCACTAAAAGGTTGGGGGATTCTGGCTGTGAGCTTATATAGTCATGCTGCATTTCTAGCATGAGCGATTCCATAGTGAGTGACAAATTCTCCATCATCATGTGCAGAGAGACAGTAGAGAAGTGTTGGCAGTCTGAAGCAAGTCATGAGTTGTCTATTGAGTCACATTCAAAGATGGGCAGAGGAGTTCTCACTGGCTGAAAGAAGATATGGTTTGTTAATCTGTCAGAAGAGAAATCTAGAGTAGAAGTAAACATGTCATAAGTATAACTTAACCCCCCCACACACACACACACACAATTCTCGGTGAGGTTGTAATTAAAGAAACCTGTATATTGAAAACAAGATTTGTGTTCCCTTTTTCTGCCATAGTGATGTTTCACATTTTTGCTGAACATAAACCAGGCTTTTCTTAATTTTTGTTCACACTGACACAAAATAGCTTTGCCTATTGTCCGGTTCACAGTCCTCTCTGGTCTTTTAAACAGGAGTAGAAGTTTATCCCTTGTTTCCTGGTTAGGATTGGGTTTCCAGTTCCTTCTAAAGTCTTTCATTCCCAGCAACCCATTATGTCTTAGTGGCATTATCATTTTGCTTGGGGCAAACTGATAAAGCAAAAAAAAAAAAAATGAGGAATTGAAACACATTGTGTTGTGAAGTTGTCTAATCAGTAAAAATATGGTAAACTGACTCCTACAATGGCATACACCACTTTTTCACAATATGAGAAATTTTACAGAAGATATTCCTAATATTCTAATAATTCTCATGGAATGCATTTTTCTTTTCATAAGTGTATTGTGTTATTTACTGAAGATTTCAGTACTACTATTATTTTATATGATTGTACAGGCTATGGCAGAAATACGTCCCACATATCCCTCTTACTGTCTTACCATTTGCGGGAGGTGTTTCTGACACACCCTGTATAATTGAACTTCAACCATCTAGAAAGATAACTTGTCTTTTTAGATATAATACCCTTAAATCATTAATTTTACCTTCTACCACAGTTTGGATCTTAAATCACTTTCAATAACAATATATAATCTATTTACAGTTTGAATTTTTTTCATGTTATTTTTTTTCTTTAATTTGAAAGTATTGTTTGCTTTTATTTTTTTGCAGTTTTGCTCCTTGATATTTTGTTGCATTACACTCCCAAGCAAGAACAAAAGCTACGTGACTTCTTTACTCTGCCAGCAATCAAAATATTGCTTGACTGGTTGTGGTCACACCCTCTTTACTTCTGTAACAATTTTCTTAAGTCCTCAAAGTAAGTTCATTTTTCATTCTTTTCAATCCATTTTATTGTATGGAGTTATCTTCTTAAAGAGTTTCATTATAAGTCTTTGTTAAAATGCGAAACATTATCTAAAAGACTCTTACAAGTCTAAAGCAGTAAATTAGAAATAAACTTATAATTTCTTGGATAAAGCATACTGTATATATTTGTGTACAGGGTGAGGCAGAGAGGACAAATGTTTTTGAAAAATTCACAGCATCATTAATTTTAGCTTCAAAAAATTTTATTGACATTAATGTGTTTGTGTTTAATTAGCATTTGACAAAATCAAGTGTGGAAAACAACATCCCTTGTGGTGTCCATTTTCATTGATACATTTCTAAAGGTGTTCTCGGAAATTGGCCTCCACTTTTTCTAGCATTACTCTATCGATTTGGGCGACTTCCATGTAAATAGCTTCCTTCAAATCGTTTATGCTCATACACATGTGCCTTGAGTTTTCTCTACAAGAAAAAAGTCATCACTCATTAACAAAATGAGGTTGTCATTTGCTTCAAAAATTGCTTCCATCTGACGTGTGAAGTTAAGCCACTGTGCATCGTCCTCTGTTCTTAACTGTTGTCCAATGACCAATTTGTAGGGGAGGAAATGCAGTTCTTCATGCAAAATACGCCTTACCAAACAATCAAGTTCAGTAGCATGTCTCCGAGCAGAGCGGGTCGGACTGCACAGTGAAGTTTGTCTGATGTGTTCCACATTTTCTGGGATACGTACCATTTGTGGGGGCCCCATTATTCTGTTCTTCATTAGTGTATGAAGTGCATGAACCCAATGTAAGATTGTGTTACAAGTGGGAACAGCCTGCTTTTGGTGAATGTTGAATCAACAACAGACTTGTTATTCTTTACAAAACTGTCGTAGGCAAACAGGCACTGCTCTATCATCCATAACACCATAATTTCAACTGTATAAAAGACAAAAATTGCTAAGACACCATGGACTAAATGGTATCTGTCACATATCCCTCTCCCTCTGAGGCTGAGTAATAGTCCTTTCAAAAATGTCAATCTCTAGTGACACTGGGCTTTGTCTAAACTTTTGGAAAGCTAAATTCAAAGTCTTGGAATCAGGAATTCTGGTTGGCAGCTGATGTGGATTTCTGAGGCACACAATGCGAGATCTCAGCCCAAAGTCATCTGCTTATATGCACTTTGGTGGTTCAAAACTGGCATGGGACCAAAGGGTTTTGAGAATTCAGTGATTCCCCAATTTTCATCAATTCAAATAAAGGTTTTCGTTGTTCCCTATTTCTACTTTCTTAATCAACTTTGCAAATTTGGAGAATTATCCACCTCCTTTGGGAGTAGTCACAGGAATTGCTTCTCCCTTAATTCCAACCTGCTTCATTTAACAACTCGCACAAACTACTTTGCACAGGAGGAACTAAATTATGCCCCTTCCTCTTTCCTTCCCAGCATTTGACCTCAGCTCACTTCCCAGAGTATGCATAACTGTCTTTGTTACAAATATAATTTTTAAAGTATGTAGGCAGAAGGCTGGAGTTCCATTCCAGCCATTTATTTTAATTCTCCAAATCTTTTTTTATTTTCTTGGATAAATCTGTCCCACAAAAATACAAATCAGGCCACCTTTGACAAAATTTGCTTTCAAAACTCCAGCCTTAATTGTACAGTACATCTGACCCATTAAGAGAAATTCGTTCTCATTTTAACCTTCTGAGTGATAGATAAAAAAATTATTTCCTTAAATCTGTTTTCATCAATGAAAATATATTTGTTTGCCTAAGTTCTCAACAAAGAGACTCTCTGTTTTTCATCCTTGGGCTGGTCAGTGTTTTAGCGAAAACTCAAACCAGATCATGTTCTTGGCATAACATGATTGATTTTCATAACTTCAGTCCTAAGAAAATGGGTTTGTTCCTCATTTTCATTTTCGTCAACAAAAAATAGTATTCTCATCTGCTTTTCTTTCCATTAATAATTTGTTTTTCTAAATTTTCCGAGGAAGAGATAAACTTATTTCCAAAATCTGTTTTTGAACACATAAACAAGAAAAACTCTCAATAAACAAGAAAAATAAACTTTTAGGAGAGAAGAAATATGTATGTATGTATGTATGTATTCTCACCAAGGAAGATGTCTCTTGTCTCTCCTTATTTACCAGCCTATATTTTATTTTGAATTAACTCTTTTTTCCTGCTTAGAATTAATGTTTAATCCCTTCACCACCTCGGTGTTATACTGTAACTAATTACACTATTCAAACTCTTGTCCTTATTTTTATTGTCATATTCACATCATTTCGGATGTTGTATGTGCTGGCCTTCTTCAGGGGCTATACATTGAAATTTCAAACTGAACCCTTTATTTCGTCCACTTTTTTGTGTAAAAAAAAAATACTGATTACAAAACTCACACTATACACAAGTAAATGCAGTATATATTTTAAAACAAAAAGTTAAAAAAAACCTTTTCAATAGATATTTGGAAAATTTTGTTTGGGAATATTTTAAACAACTAATCTGGGCTTTAAAGGTACCAGAAAAATGCTCCTGCCTCAATTTAGAGAGTTATTACCAGATGTTTTGGTCAATCCAAAATGGGACTAAACTAGTGGCAGTGGGGAAACAAAAAATAAAATAAAAAGTTCAATTTTAGAATACTAATTATTTATCTTCAAATTACACAATATCTGATATTATTTTTAAAGAATGTTTTAGAAATAGTTAATTCTAAAAATAAACAGGAGTCAAGAGGCAACATTGTATGTTTGTATGATATATAAAAGGTGAGAAAATAAAAATAATTTTTGTATTTGATTGCAAAGATGTCTAAAATACAAATCTGCAATTAGCTAAAATATTCACTTTGAAGAACTTTGTATGACATTAACTTACTATTAAGGTAGACAAAATTCTGTGTAAAAAAATTAAAATTTGGCTAAATGTATTTCCAGTTACTTTCTAAACTTTTGAGACTCTGTAGTTTCTTTACTCCATATATTCTTATGCATTATTGTCTTCCATTTTTATTTTATAAAATACATCTGAAGCCAAAAGAGTCTTTTGGCAGAATTATTAAATGCACAAAAGATAGAAAAAGTTGACTGAATAATGTATGAAATAATTGTTCATTACTTATATATTTACAGTGTTTGGTCCAATTTATCTAAGTTGCTAAATACAGTACAAGACCAACCCTTGAATGGTGAATCCCTTGATCTGCCCAAGTGTAAGTAGATTTAGGCTTCACTGTTTCTCTTTTTTATGATTAATTTTTATTTCTTTTTACATATCTGAATGATTGTCATTTGATTCCATGTTTATATTCAGTTAGTTATTGTATGTTATTTTATATGAAATGCATACTTACAATTCTTATTCTCTTACTTTTATATTTGTAGATTTTGATATGCCACTTCCTGAAGATCATGATCTGCGCTGTTTCCAACCAATTGAAAAAGCACATAGGTAAGTTATTCACTAATATTAAAATTATTCTTTAGCACTATATAAGGAATTAATGGGAGAAAAGCACAGCTAAGAAATAGTTCTATTGCTTTAATTTGTATTGTCTACTGTGTTTTATCAAATTACAAAAACTGTTGAGTTAGATTTTTTAATAAATGAATTATGTATTCCTGTTTCATAAATTCAGACAAGGATTGCTTTAAAATAGTTTTTGAGTTTCAAAAAAGTTATTTTTATTGTTTCCCTTATAACAATTAAAAAATGATTTTTTTTTATTTCCTATATATCATTACCATAAATATATAAAAAATAATGATTCTAATAAATTATATTTATATATCAAATATATTACAGATAATTGGAGAGATGCAACAGTATGAAAACTTTCAATCATTATTATTGTGACTGAAATTAATATGTGGAGAGCAGTAAAGTTTTCTTTCAGCTCTGTACTTTTTATCTAGCTCTGAGAAAAGTTTTTGACTAGATGATCTTGGTTGCTTTGTCAACTCTGAATTTTTAGAGCCTTTGAGATTTACAAATTCAAATTATGACCAAATATTTGTTAATAAATTCAATTAGTTATTGTGGTATAGTCCATCTCCTCCATTAATGGATCTGTTCTGAACATACGTATTTAGAGGAATTCTGCTGATATGCAGAGTATATTAAAGTTCAAAAGAGTTAGGCAGTCCACTGCCTGGCTCTGCTTGTCAACCTGGAGGCAGAGAGGAACCCAGATGAGGCTGGTAAGTAGGCAGAAAATCAGGTTTCACTGTTATCTTCAGTTCATACATTGAACATCAGTAGTCCTAAATCTGGTCACAAAATCAGGATCCAATTTGACATTATACTTATATTGTAAATTGAACCCCCACTTTAAAATTCACTTGATTCCACTTTAAAGCTTAATTCAAAAGTGAAAAATTTTCCAAATTGATATCATGTTCATGCAAAGCAAATTATATAAGAAAAATGCATTTTCATACAAAACTCTGCTAACTGATTTTTTCCCCCAAGTAATTTTTATACAACTTTTTAATTCAAGCTTTAATACAACCTTTTAACTCCAAGCTTAAGTTTGTTGTTGACAAGTAAGTTAAACAGAAAAAAAATCATTTTTCTCCATTCTGAAGTTGAACTTTATTGAACTAAAAAAAAAAAAAAAAGTTACCTTCAATTTTTCTATAAAGTTGTGAGTAGTGGTTATGGTAATGACTCATTAAATTTGTGTTGTTGCCTCCTTCTGCATGTTCTGCAGGCAAGATAACCATCATCTATCAGTTTTCTGTCAAGATCCTATCAGAAACTCAAATATACCCACACTTTTGACTTAATCCTTTCATTTTCTAACCATTGTTGAAGATCATGTTTTCTGGAGACTGTTAGGTTTGCTTATGAACAGAAACTTTGATGATTAATTTATTTTTTTTTTTCCTCATATTGACAAAAGAAGGAGTCTTGAAGGAATAGATAAAATTTTACGTTTCATAAATGTAGTCTGCAAGTTGAATTGAATGGCTTTTGATTATATTGAGTTAGACCTTTATATAATACACAGGAAAAATATTTTTTGAGTGAATCAAAACAGAATGTTATCATTCAAATATAATTTATATAGGAAAAGGTTTGGATTAGTCATCCATTTGTAAAAAGTGTCAGAAAAAGGAATGTTTTAATCATGAGTTTTTTCATACTTTGTTACCAGTAATGATAATTGAATTTTCAAATACTGTTACTATCAGGAATTTTATCATGATTTAATGTAAAACCAGTTACTGTTGCATCTACATTAAAATGCTGAGTTGATAGTTTAAATTCCAATTTTATAACTGGATAAGATATATTTTGTTCAGGTGCTCTGATATTTTCATTAATTTTTTTATTCATTTTGTTTCAGCAACTATAATTTCGATGTAGGAAAGAAGTGTCCAACCGCTGAAGTGGAAGTTCAATTAAGAGCACAACGCCTGGTCAATCATGGCAAGTGGATTGTAGAAAAATGCTCAGAGTAAGTCAGTCTTGCATTTTGATTTTTTTCTGACATAATTGATCCTCCTTTATGAACTATTATCTTCTGTCTTTGTTTATTTTCATCACTTATTATTATAAAAAGAAATAATTCTTTGTCAGCTAATTGTATTTTTATTTTTACCTTTCAAGTTTGCGGCTTTTGTCTATGCAAGTGACCAAGTCTGGACGTCTGCACTTCCAATCCCCTGGCAACCAACCACCTGTACAAAATCAACAGCAGCAACAATATCGTGTCCCTTGCAGTAATGCAACAGATGGTAAGGAGAACAAAGGTCAGTTGGAGTGGAACTCATGGTCATTTGTAACTATTTTATATTTACTTGTAATTTAAACTAATACTTCCTAGGATATGTAGGTAGCATAATTTGTCATTGGCATGGAAAATTGGATCAGAAAGCCTAGTTCAAATTTCCACTTAGTTTGTTGCACAAATGACATTGGGAAGGGCATAAATTCATTTCTTCCCTCTCCCCACCAGCTATTGATTAAATAGCAAAGTAGTTTGGGATTCTCTAGTCATGAGTGGCAGCTAGTTTAAAAAGACTACTCTGAAATCCAAACCTGGGAAGAAAGCAACAGGAATCCACTCTGTTATCTTTCCTAAGAATGCATGTCATCAGATAATAAAGAAAAGGAATCTGTGGAAAACCATGATCACCTACTCACTAAATGGACATGCCATAAAAAAATATGGAGGTGTAACAGGTTTCCTAACTGCTGTTCTAATGTAATACCTTCTTTTTAATATTGTTTTATCTTTTTCTTTTTTTTTTCTCCCTAAAAATAGAATGTAAAATTAAGTCACTGACTCGTTTCAGGGATACACTATTTTTTTTTTTTTATAGTTTTCTGTAGATTGATTCAAACAGTTTTGATATAACAATTTGGATAGTATACCATTTATTCAATTTATAATGTCTGTTTCTTTATTTAAAGCAAATTCAGTTATTGAATGTCATTTGTAGCAAAGACATTAAAAACTTTATTATATTGTTAAAAGTAATTTATTTTTTTTATTTTTTCATTTATTACAGGTGACATAGGTCATAGTAATGTGGATAAAAAACCAAGTCGTCAAAATGTTGCCATACAGGTGAGTAAGAAAATTTTATTATTTTTTTTATGAATACATTTTCATATTTAAAATTTGTAAATAAATAAAAAATCATAGAAAGTTGATAATGAAACTGTAATCCTAGTTTTACTCTGGTTGGCATGAAATGACCCATCAGGATGGACATGTCATTATACAAAATCTAACAAACTCTGACTAACTTGTACTAAAGTACAAGTTAGTTAGATTTTGTAACAAATGCATTCTTTATGTGTTAAACCCCAGATGATACCTATAAATTAAAAAAGTTACAGGTATTGCTTTAAGTCCCATTGTCTTTGTATTCAGATCAGTTGTATTGACCAAGAAAACTATTTTATTTTTGCTTGTCAGTTGAATGTTCGGTTATTACTTAACCAAAAAATGAATACTGATAATTCATAAGGAGATTGGCACAAATTCTGTTTTTTAAGTTGCATGTTTACTGTTTTCTTATTTATTAAAACTTGTTTATTATGTAATTTTATTTTTCTGTAGGCCATTATTCAAAAACAGAATCAAAATCCTGACAAGAACTCTCCAGATAAAGAAGTAAAGAATATCAACAAACAATTGGTAAATAATTACATTTTTCTTCTTGATTAGCAGGTGTATAGGAAATTGACAGTCACTAACTATGCAAAATTTAAGCTGCTTGAGTGTTTATCGTCTGCCTTTCAGAGAGAAAGATGCTGCATTGGGTTCTTGCTTAATTTTTGAATTTCAAAAAATATTTTTGGTACATTTTGATTTGGGTGGAAAACAGCTGCATTTGTTTTTGATCCAAAACCAATAAAAGGGTTTCTCTCCAAATTCTGAGAAGTGTATTTGTATGTTATTGGGGGTGGGGGTAATGGGGGCGCCTGGCTTTTGGAGTCAATGAACAGCTGTTGCAGGAACCTAAGTCACCATTGTCCAGAAATAAAAACAATGCAGAAGAAATTTGACAACTACCAGATGAGAATTGAAAGGAACATCAAAGTTGCTCCCATGGAAAGGAAAAGTCTTTGACTGGTGTGCTTGTTTTATTCTTCACTGTTACCTTTGCTTCAAAAATTGTACCAATTTGAAAACTTCAGGGAAGTACTTTCTTCATTTTATGTAGTTTTCTTTTCTGGGGACTTTATGCATCAATATAATTTTTATTATAAAAAGGCCTTTGTGCATTAACAATAAAATTGTTTGTTTTTAAGCTCTGCTCGTGTTGTCTTTGTTGTGGGCCCATATAAAAAAAAATCTTACCTTTTAAACCTTTGTTTGAACAATTTTTTTTATTTTTTTTTTTTTTTTTTTACCACCAAATAAAAATCCTATATAAGCAAAATAAAGCTGTATTTATTATATCATCTTTCTCCTTCTATAATATTTATATTTTTCTCAAATTTTTGCTTAAAATTCAACTTTGCTTTAGACCATTAAGGTCAAGATTTGTGATATGCCAATAGGTTGAAGTGACTGATATCAACACGTTTGTTTGAATTTTCTTTACTAAAATATGACTTAGTTTATTATCCTGTTATTCAGAATATAACTAACTCTACCTAACAATCTGTTACCGAGTTCTTGTTAAGAGTGGGAGGAGTTACAAATTAAAGAATTTTTTTTTTATATGTCCTCTTTCAGATACATATAAAATTTTCTCAAAGTTTAGTATAGTAAGATTTTTTAATGTTGTTAATTATCTTTGACATAACAGTTTTTGCATTTCTTTGTCTACATAAAACCATTTTGTGATTATTTTCTATATTGAGGATTTCTTATTTCATAAACAATACCAAAAGTATTTAAAAAAAAAAAAAAAAACAATTCATCAGAATTCCTTTTGCTAACCATGCTGACTCTTGTGGTGTCCTACCTAGAATTGAACTCGCCATCTTTGGTTAACAAATTTCTGAAGATATTAGACCTGCTCCTCAGATGTGTTCTGAGCAGTGACAGTAGCTTGTCTCCCTTCTTGCCCAAGTGGATTTAACCATAAGGCATTATTTACATTTATTGACCTTTCTCCTCAGGGTAAAATTTTCCATTGTTTGGTGATATGCTCTCATTCAGTTTATTGATCAAGACCCTGTTTTAACACTTTTCTCAACTTGGTCCTGAAAATGTTGCTTAAAAACTTTTTGTTAAATACATATTGCTTTATTAGTTTAGTTTAATATTTTTCATAGGCTTATTTTACAATCTTGGTTTCTTTTTTAGTTTTGCAAACTAGATTGTATTCATAATATCTGATTCAGTTTTGTTCTAGCATATATGACTATATTACTACAGATATTATATATAACTGTTAGATTCTTTTAAATATTTAATTTGAGAAAATATTTTTATAGTAATTTAAATATCAAATGTCATGTATGTTTTATTAATATTTCATATTTAAATTTGTCTAAGAATTATTTTTTTTCTTTTTTAAATTGATGTTTCATAACATTCCTTTTTTTTTTTTTTAATTAACAGTCCCAAAAATTTTGATATTTGTTTAATTTCAGATGAAAATCTCCAATGATAACCAGAGTAAGGCATGCAACATGAATCCCCATCGTTACCTGCTGGGTGTACCTACAACAGACCCTCAGTTTATGAAACCAGGTGGTAATCGACCTGTTTCCATAGCCTCGACACAGCAGTCAGTAACTAAGCCTGGTGTATCCCCACATTCAACTGCTCCGTCACCTCTTAATCTCCTTCCTCCTTCCCCAACACCGAACAATGTCAACACAAACCAATTTTCACCATCTTTACAGTACAGAGGACCCAGCCCTTCATTTTCCTCTCATGTACCTATTCCTCCAGTCAATGTCCGGCAACAGCAACAACAGATGCAGCAGCAGCAGCAACAGCAGTACCCACCAGTCAGTCAAACTCAGTTTCCTAGGAGAGGACCATACTTGCCCTCTCAGCCCCCAACCCAGATCCAAGGGGGTGTAAATGAGCGATATCCTGGTGGGGGAAATAATCCTATGAACCGACTCATGTCAGCAGGTGGACCCCTCCCTCCCCAGCCAGACTCTAACCAGTTCTCAGTAGGGAATACAGCTCCTCCTCCTCCCCCTCCACATTTTACTGGTGGGGGCCTAGTTCGGCCACCACCATCCCAGCAGCAACAAGGTCCTCAAGCTTCAGCCCAGTCATCACAAGGGCAAGGTCCAGTCCCTTCATCCCAAGTCCCAGCTATACCCCCAAACTTTACCTCAAGCCAATCCTTTTTACCCCCATCATCAAAGTTTTCAGTTGCTGTTCCTTCCCAGCCTCCAAATGGAGGACCCCTCAGTAATCACCAGTTTTTGTCATTCTCCAGTCAACCTCCTCCTCCAGGTCCTTCACATTATCCACAAGCCTATAATAGTTCAGGAGACAGTCTGAAGGGACAGAAACCAACCAACAATATGCAATGTCAGAAATCTACACCATCACCAATTGGTGGTCCTCTTGGTGGGCCCCATCAAAATCCTGTTTCACATCACCAGCAACAACAGCAAGCTTCACATCAACAGGGCCTTGGTCAAGGGCAGCCCCAACCTCCCCAGCCACCACAGTCACAGGTACATCCAGAATCTCTAAATAAGTCATTGTTAAATCCCTTGGGAACTCTTTCTCAGTCATTGGGGCTATCCTTGGCTAACAGTTGCTCTCCTACAGAGGATACTGACCCTGGTGACTTGCAGCAGTCATGTGATGAGTTCAATACAGATACATCAGAAATCTTAGGTGGCTTCTCACATTTGGTAGCCATTCAGGTAATTTCTGCTTTTCAATTTAAATTGTTTTCAGAAATATTCTTTTTATTTTCTTCTGCCATTGATAAATTGTCTTGAGGAATTTCTTCAATTGCTAAGTTTTAATGATAAACCAACATAAGCAAAAAAAAATGTAATCAGTACAAGGCAATCTTTATACCAGGCCTGGTAACCATGCAACTGGGGACATACATGTAGAGACCTAAATTACTGCTAAATAACAATTACCAAGAACAATTTTAGCAAGGAACTTGTTAGTAATGTCCAGTAATTAGTTAATTAGCAACTATATATAATATTAGGAAGCATCTCACAATTATTAACTTATTTCCATAAATGCAAATGTGGAAAGAAAGAACAAAAATACCATAATTAAATGCACAAAAATCATTTTATTCACCATAAATTAGATATTTTTATGATATTGCAAAAATAATGAGTTATGGTCTGGTTGATATTTGATCCTTGTGGCTCACCGTTGAATAGATCACTTTGATCCAAGCCTTACCTTGTCTCATGTTGTGTTTGATTTATATCACAAGGCTGGTGAGGATTAGTTGTTGACAGGAATTGATAAATTGGTCTGGTCTGGACAAAGTGAAGCCACAAGTCATACAATAAATTGTAATAAAGAAAATGTTTTATATAATGTTTCTTGTACAGAGTTGGTAGTACAATATCAGCTCTTCAGGTAGGAATGTTTTTCATGCAGGAATATATTTGTTATTTGACCCTTCCCACTTCAATTATTTTGTGATATTTTGTTCATCATGACTAAGTCTAGATAAGGTTTCTGGAACACAGCTCAAAGCTGGAGGTCTTCTTCAGCAGCTGGAAGTCATGTGGGTTTGGTGAAGCAGTTGTTCCTCCTGGTGTCTGACAGCTTCTCTCTACAATTGTTTCAATTCTCTGTTTATAGGGACCTCTGTCCAAAACCGGCATGGGGTCTGATGCGAGTTGGAATTTCAGTGATTCCTCTAATCTCCACAGCTCTTTGTTTGTTCGACTATTGGAAATTAATTGCATGCCCAATTTTCGAGAGGCCCCTCTTCTGAGAAGTAGTGGTAGCAGAATATCGATCCACCCTAACTCCTTCATTTCATATTGGTGCCTCATTGCCTACACCAAGCGGTGTAGTCAATTTCTCCTCCTCCCTTGGTGTTCTACCTAGGCCTTTCACTCCTATGGTCACCTGACCAATCTGATCTCTAGAATGCATGGTCTCCAGTGAATTACATCTTCCCCTCTTTTTTCCCTGACAAGTGATAAAAAAAAAAAAAAAATTCTCTAATTTTGTTTCCAGGAAACCATAAATTTTATCTCTCAACCAACTTTTCCTTAACAGGTTTAGGCCAGCAAATAATTCAATAACCTGGATTTTAAAAACAATAGTGTCTCCATTTTGGCTTTTACCTAAAGAAATTTCACTGCTCCAGCAATTCACACTATCTCCTCTTCTTTTGACAAGTGATAAAGAAAAAAAAACAATTCTTTAACTCTGCCTTTGTTTCCAGAACACCTTAAATTTTATCTCTTGACCGAATTTTCCAACGGGTTATGGCCTGCAGACAATTTCTTAAGCTGGATTTTAGGATTTTAAAAACAATAATGTCTCCATTTCATAGTTGTCAACCTTGGCCATATGGTTTTTTTTGTAGTAAAAAAATAAGATGTTTCTGTCCTTCCTCTCTGAAAGAAAAAAAAAACAAAACAAACCCTCTGAATTTAATAAATCTTGCCTTGTCTCTTGGTATAGCTTCAGTCGTTAAAGTGTCACAAAAAGTAAAAATTTCTTTTAAAAAGAAATTAATTCCAGCAGCGAGTTTTCGCATGTTAACTGTTTGCCCCCAGTGACAGAAGATCTACACACACACTACAGGCCTAGTTAAGGATTGCCTTGAATCAGTAGTAATCAAACTGATGTTTATGTGGAGAGTATTAAATTAAAAGAAAATAAACCTTCAAACTTGCCTGTTAAGAAATACTAGATATAACTCAAGTTTCCTTGAAATGTTTTTATTTAAAAACTGGAGTGTCAACTTGTTCTTACAGCCACCCAAATCCACTCAGATAGAATTTCTGGCCTCTTCCAAGCCTTTCCAAGGACATGCCGAGGTAAATCCATTACATTCTAACAAAATATTACAAAGAAACCAACATGAGAAAACTATTTCAAAATACTTAAAATGCCAACATAATGTCCTACCTTAAAGAAGTAGGTTTATACCAAAACATAACACCTACAATAGATCATCTACAAACTATATATCTATAAAACATATGTTTGCCCTAAAAGTATAAAATAATGTAAAAAATATCTATAGTTAAAGGCATAAAATTGTGTACAAAATATTTAGTTTGGCATTAACCCATAGAGGGAGATATGCTTCTAAACATAGACAACCAAACCATTACATAGTAGCATTATGTAATTATTTCATATTCATTACTGTATGATTGATTCTATAAAACAGATTGGCTCTTCTTGCCCATTTACATTCAAGGTTCACTATGGAAGTATAAAAATACCAGCAGTACATTTTCATAGTAAAAAAATTACCAGCAATGCATTTTTAAAAAAACAAAATATATTACCAGCAATATATTTTTGTAAGAGAAATTACTAATGCTCCCAAGAAAATTAAATTTTAGCATTAAATGACCCATAAGGAGTTGATATGCCACTAAACAAACATTTGAAGTTGAATTAGTGTCTTTCTCAGTTATTATTAGCAAATAAAAAATTAAGATAAATGTTATATTTGATGAGCAACAGAAGAATGTTTTATTCCTAAATGATAGATTTTTTTTTTTTTGTAATGAATTTTGTTAAAATCACAATGATTATTTTCATTCTTTACACAATTGATTTATGATCATTTTTACATGAGAATACAAAATTTTTAGATTGGCTTTCCTAAAATTTCAAAATTTGGAATAAAATCTTTTCTTTTTTAAATAACAACTTTTTATACTATAATTTTCTTCATGTGGTGCATAAGAAAATGGTAAATTATCAATTTGTAGGATGGCCAAACTATAATCTTTAGATTCAAAGACTGTGGCAGTCAGTTTTCAGTCATGTTTACAAATCTAATACATTGAAATATCAGTTACTGATAGGTTTATTTAAAATGCATAATAGTTGTTTTTTTTTTTTTTTTTCAGTTTAAAGTTATTTTTCGTTATTAATCAAATATTTATTATATGCCTTTCCATTTGGATTAGTATCCCATCTTGGTTGTTATACACACATTTCAACTGTTATACTGTCTAGCTTTTTTCGGTTGTCGTACTCTGTAAATTTCTTGAAATTTTGAACATGACCCTTTATTCAGTCAGAGAGAGTAGATTATCCTGAAAAATGACCAAATATTACTTGAAGCAGAATTTTAAATTATTTTGTTAATTACCACACTAAAAACAAACATAAACTGATTTATAATTATTTTTTAATGAGATGGGAAATATTTGTTTTTGAAAATTTCCTTTGATGACTTTTTTCCACTTTTTTTAAATTCAATTTTAAAATGTTAATAAAAATATATTTTTTTTTTATCTTCTAAAAGGGTGTGCCAAAGCCTGACAGCCCTCCTGCAACCCTAGGGAAAAAGTAAGCCTGTATTTTTTTGATGTTGTTTTTTCTTTTAGAAACTATCACATTATTATTTTGCATCATCAGATAAAATGACAGATTGTAATTAAAGAGTAAAGCAAGTCTGAGCATTTTTAATCTGACTTGTGCACTAGACATAAAGGTGGAAAACCTAGTAAGGGAAAATATTTGGTTTTTATATGAAATTAATTTAAAAAAAAAATTCTTTTTCCCAATTTGTCATACTATTTTTTTTGAATACTGTTTGTTGATATATAAAATTATACAAAATGATATATTGTTATATTATACAGAGATATACATGCACACACACACACACACACATATGTGTATATACACACACACACACACACACACACACACGTGTGCACATGCACACACATATACAGATGTATGTGTAAACACACGCATTCATACATAGATGTATGCATACACATATGTACATAAACAGATGTATGTGCGCACACATGCATATATATAATATATATATGTCACGTGTGTGTGTGTGTGTATATATATATATATATATATATATATATGTATAATAATGAAATGTATTAAGTTTAACAATTATTTAATATATTTTCTGTTTGTACGTTATTTTTATAGATATGATGTATTTAACTAAATGCTCTGTTTTTAATTAGACCTTATTAATTACATTTACCAGCCTGAATGTTCAAGAAATTTCCTCGAAAATATGTGTTCCCAGACAGGAATTGAACCTGTATTCCTATATATAAAAACATCATTTGACCTGATGTGCTGTACCATTCAGTTACAGAGAAGTGTCTGGTTAGCAAAGTTCAAATTACTGTTAAACACACAACATTTACTTAACTACATTGTATTCAGAGCGTTTACTTAAATGCATTGTCTCTATAAAAATAATGTATAAACAGAAAATATATTAAATAATTGTCGGGCTTAATCCATTTAATTGTATTTTGTCATTGTTTACATTAATATACATTTCATGAGCAGAAATGATCAATCGAGAAAAATCGTTGAAGATTGTCTGTTTATAAGCAGTAATTCTTTTTATCTTTTGCTTATTACTATCTTGGTGGAGTACTGTTGTATCTTTGACTAACATCTGTCTAAACTGTGAATGTGGAAATGAGTGTTCCTTTAAATGCTCTGAGTGAACTATGATCATTTAAGTGAAACATAAGCTTTCTTGTCATGGTTGTTGTAGTAAAACCAACATACATATTATTAACACTTTTGTCAGTGATGCAATCTCCCAAAGGACATTTAAATTGATATAGACTGTTGGTCTTTTGTAAAACACTAGTTGACAGAGAAGAGTTGTTATGAATGACTAAGTTAGTTGTATTCAATTTAGTATAGTATATAATTAATTTTATATTTTTACTGGGATCAATGTGAGGACATAGTGTTTATGAAATCTTTTAGAATTTTTCAGCCTGTTTATTGTTAAAATGCATTTGATTATGGTATAGTAGTTTGATATGTTTAAAGTTATTTGATGTATTATGTTTTTTTTTTATTTATGTTTATATTCCTAGTAGCTCATCTAATTTGTTCATCAATGATGTAATTAGGAAAGTCATTATTAATGAGGGTTTGTTTAATGTTTTTTAATTCCGTATAGAAAATTTTTCTTGTTGAAGAGTTTGATTTTGCATGGTTTATTAAGTTTCGTATAATAGCTATTTTGTAATACGTAGGACATTCTTTTATAGTTGATAGTGCATGTGTTTAGTTGGATACATTGTACATGTGTGTATGCATATATATATATATATATATATATATTGTACACACGTGTGTGTGTGTATGTATATATATATATATATATATATATATATATATATACACACACAGAGGGTGTTTGTGCTAAATTTGAATTTGACAGTCAGTTTGTTTAAAGGAAAACAGAATATCTAAGCCAAAAATTAATTTTTGGGGGAAAATAGACAAGTGGCATACAGGTCATAATAATCAAAAGACAATTCACTTAAAAAAAAAAAAATCCACCCTCAACATCTACTATGGCCTCAGTTCAACTCTGGAATCTTGCATATGCAGCTTTCACTGTATCCCTAGAGAGAGGCTCAAACACATCCTTAATTTTGCCAATCAGCTGGTGCAGTTGGTCTTTCTCAACCGTGTGCCACACACACATAATAATAATAATCCCTGTGATTACAATAAGGTGAGTTAGGAACCAGATGTTGGTTGGGGCCTGTGAAGTTGTAAGAATTATCTGACAACCACTTCTGACTCTTCCTGGAGGTATGGAAAAGAGCTGAATGTTGCTGCCACATATATGGTCTTCCAGCAGGCCACCCTCTCCAACCAAAGTTTGAACACAGTATTCAGCAACTTCACATTGAACCTGAGACCCTATTCAAAGATGTGAGGTGGTATGACATCACCCTCACTGGAGAAACATCCAAAAACTATCACAGTTTGGGGAAACTTGGTCTTCATGAAATGAGGAACATCATATTGATTGTTGTTCTGGGTGTTGTGTAGCTGGTCCTGACAAAAATTCTTTTCATCAGAGAACCAAATTGTTCTTGGTTCAACAGGAGTTTTCACCTTGTTTAGGAGTTTCTTTGCCTTTTTCAAACAGTTTTCTCAAGTCTTTTCTGTAAGAAGTCGGCCATTACACTTGTATAACTGGTAGAGGGTGTTCTCATTCAATGCCAGCTTCATGGTGGAATTTGCAACAACCATTTCCTGTTTTCCCTTGCCTGGATCTTCTATCGTTTTCTCCTGCAGTTGTCAGATGAATTCTGATGTATAGAGGCAATCAGAACATCTTTTCTACAAGCCATGGGCTTGTAATTTGCATTGCAGCTCTCCATTTCACATCTTTTCATGGTGTTCAAAGAGCATTGAGAGTCAGGGTTGTCATTTTGATGCTTGGTATGAATCACCATAATGCTGGTTACTCTTTTCCAATATTCAGGTGGCTTGCACTTGTCCATTTCAGTTAACTTTGACACCTCTAAAATCATAGTGATTCACAATGTTGTTTGCTGTTTACAGATATTCCAAACCAATTCGAAAAAGTAAAACATTAAACTCTGGCAAATTAAAATTAAGCCAAAGACCCTATATATATATATATATATATATATATATATATATATATATATATATATATATATATATAAAACACACACACGTACGTGTACAAACATATGTACAATGTGAAACAAAAGGCTCATAAAATATTCCAAAATAGAAAAGTGGTTCCTCCTGACAAACCCAATAAATAAAAAAAATATATTGTTCTACTCACTAACTCTATTACAACTACAACTGAAAAGAATTTATCTAAACTCAACATAAAATTTATCACAACTACATCTAAAACAATAAAAGACGATCAATACAAAACAGGCCAAAACTTGAAGGGGGAATTTACTCTATCACTTGTAAGGATTACCAAAAAGAGTATATTTGAGGAACCTCAAGAAGTTTAAATAAAAGATTATATGAACACAAAAGAGTCATTTAAAAAAAAACAACTTATTAAATGCATCAGTTGCTCACTGTAATGAGACTGACCATAATTTTGACAAAAAAATGTTACTCTAGTTAAAAGAGAAAACAACTCATTAAGATGAAAATGTTTAGAAAGTGCTTTAATCGCTAGTTCATCCATAGTAAATTTGCGTCTGTGTTCTTAGAATGTTTATTTTAGATTTTCTGTTATCACAATGTGGGATATTTAATAATAAAAATGATGGAAACAAAAAGAATATGAAAATTGGCAATGGGATTTGGGGGCAAAATAATAAATTTATAAAAATTTACAATGATTATTCTAGGATAAGGATTTTATGGATGGACATATGTTTATACTTGTGATGATAATGTCACAATTTTATTATGAAATGTAAATTATTGTATTGGAACAATCAGCTGTACAAAGTCTTGATTTGACAGGTTTTGCATTGTTGCCATAAAAGAAAGTTCTTGCTGTTTCTAAATAAATTTTATGTTCTACAAATTGGTAGAAATTTCCTTCCAACCAGATATATGAATTCATTTTTGTAGGTTAGACCAAGATTCTATAATTAGTGTTTGTGATTTTAAGATATTAAGTGTAAATATAGAATTTTTTTTGGTTGAAGGTTTAGATTTTGAGGCCCTCTCTGATAGGGAAGCAATATTTTTCTTTCAATATCATGTTGAAAATTGATTGGGTTTGAAGGTGAAAATGTTTCATATTAACATAAGCACACACAATTATGGATCTTGTATAAATTTTTTTATAACTTTTCCACTGTTCAGTACTCTACTCTTTCTGATACAGTCAGTTAGAAAATATAACATTTTAAGACTTAATAATTTATACTCAAACTATAAGAAAATATCTTCAATTGATTTTTTTGTGTACCAGTACATCATTGTCTAACTCAAATTCCAAATCAAAATCTTGCATAACTTCATTTAAAACTTGTTTATTCTTTTTTTTTTTCTGATGGGCATAACAATTTTTTAAAATTGACTAAAACTTGAATTTGTTAGCATTATATTGTTACTGATTTAGAACATGATCATCATGGTAGGAATGTACAATTGAAAAGTGGTATTACTAATGGCTGCAAGTGACTTGCTAGATTAGATTTGATTACTTCTCTGCTGTTTAATATAACAGCTTGCTAGTAAATTTTATGAGTGAGTGTCAAAACAATGAAAGAATTAAAGGTCTAACTTTTTGTTTGCATTGCAAAGCAAAAATATGTAATTTTGGAATAACATCACTGATTAAAATTTTAATACTTGTGTGAAATAAAGAAATATTACCTTGTCCATTTAGTGTAAATTCCTGAGTGACCATCCTGCTATTTACTGATCCCCCACCAAAAAAATCTTGTATAATAATTTATTTGTTATTTTCCTTTTCTTTTATGACTAAAGACCGAATTTTATTGTGCAGTTTAATTTTGCAGTTTAATTATTTTTTGATGTTTCCTTTTCAGTCTTCTTGGTACAGATAATGAGTGTTTGTCTGGAACCAGCCATGAAATAAACTCTCAGCCTGGCACTTACTCCTTGTTTAGTTCATCTCCTTGGTCAGTGCATATTACAGCTGCTGGAGACTCCAAGAGTGAGTAGATCAATTTTACTATAGTTCTCGGAAATAATTTAGCTATATGTTTTGTTTAAGAAACTGTTTTATAAGTTAGTTATATGCATTAATCTGTTATATATATTCTCCTTAAAAACAATTATAAAAATCTTCTTTGCTAGATACAAAGGATAGGATTCTTTGGCTGATACAAGAACTTATCAAAATTCTTTCCACTAAAATGCTGGATGCATTTAAATCTGCATAAAGGAAATGTTTTCTAAGCTAATTTCTAAATACAAAGATGTCTGATTTTAATTTTCAATTTAGAATCTAAAAGTCATTGATTAAATAATGAAAAAAAAAAAAAAATGAAAGAAATAATGTATAATGATGAGTTCAAGTTCTGCTACGATCAGCATTCTGTTATAATGTTACTAACTATTTATCCTTATTAAGCATTAATTTGGATTATTTGTTGTTTCACTTGATCAATTGTTATGTTTTATAACAAATTTTCTCCCATCTTGATAATTGCAGGTCTTGGTTCCTCGCCATTTTCTTCTCAGGCAAGTAGCATTCGCAACTCCCCTGATCCTTTGTCAGAGAATTATGGTCCTGATTCCTCTCTGGTCACTACCAATTTTGGTAGTTTTGGTTTTACATTTTCTTCCAGCACTGATCACTGGGGCACGTCACAGCCAGCTACTGTGCCCCAGCAACCTCCTCCTGCTGCTGCTGCTGCCACCGCTGCTGCTGCTGTTCCCCAACAAATGCCTACCGGGCCAGCCAGGGTTACACCATCTTACCTGTTACATGGAAATATCCAGGTGAGTTTGTAATGTCCTGTTTTCATAATCTTAGATGATTTCAGTTTGGATACACTTTTTAAGAACTTGTGATCATTTTTTTTTCTTATATTAAAGAAAGCAAGCGATACATTTTCAAATGGAAATAAGGAAGGGTTTGTTTTTGAACAAATGTTTGATAGCACGTCCAGTTGTGCTGTGTCCTGAATGGGAATGATTTTAATTGTGATGTTATTTTAAAAATGTTCTTTTAATTATACATCACCATTATTATGTCGTATATGTTACATTTTGTTGTTACTGTTCTATTTTAGTGGCTACACTAATTATAAAGTAGCCCTATTACACTGGTGCATTTTCAGTTAATGTGGGAATCCATACAAGCAAAGAACTTGTTGAAGAAATTTGAAAAAACTGAACTATGCAATTCCTTAAACAAGGAGTTCCAGAAGATTGAATCTTCCAAGAAGATTTCTTGACGTATTTTGATTATGCAGTCTCTTGAGAAGAGCTCAATTTAGATTTAAAATTAGGACTCATTTTAATTTAAATTGTAATTGATATATACTATCAGACCTATAATGTGCAAATATGACCTCTTTATTGGCAACAAAAGAGTAGGAAAATAGTTTGTCTGGCTAGCTTTGAATTTCACCTTTTTGAGTTTCTCATTTAATAGATATTGATTTTTAATGAATATTTTTATCATATCAACAATATGATATTGATTTTTAATATGACTATATAGATATTACTGAAACCTGACAATATTCATATTTTAATTTCAATAAATTAACTTTGTATTAAGTTTATTTTCAAAATAATTTTATTTAATAAAAATAAAATATCTTGTGTAAAAAAAAAAAAAAAAAAAAAAATACAATAATTAATCAATTTCCTGTTTTATCCCTCTTGTTTTTAAAATATTTGACCTTTTATCTATTTTTTCAAATAATATTTTGAAAATTATTTCATCATTTAATTAAACAACGCTTTCTATTGCTTCAGAAATAAAAGTTGTCTCGTTTTTTAAGAGTAGCCATGATTAAGATTATCAATTGGCTTTATCTGTGAGCATATGTTACTAAACTCTTTTTTGGTTAATTTGCTTGCACCATCATGGCCAACTAGTATTAAATGACCCCACATGTCGCATAACGAGCTGAATTCTAACAGGCCAATATAATGTAAACAAAAAAAAAGAATTGAATTGCTGCTTAGAAAATTACTAATCTAAAAGGGAGGTAACTTTAAAAATTGAATTCCTAGAACGTAAATTAACAACATACAATTACGTAGAATTTATCAGATGTTAATTCAATTCCCTACACACGTTTTCAACACTAAAATGCCTATTTACACCTTTTTTTTTCTACTAATCTATGAATTATAAACAGCTGTGAGTTACCTCGCTTTTATGATTTTCAATTGCGTATACAGTCCATTTTGCAAACACTATTAACTAAATTTTTTACCTCATAGTATATTGCATTTTGAAGAGAAATGTATTTTGAAAGGAAAAAGAAACAAACTGAATTGGGATTTACATCCAATACCTACAATACATTCAGAAAAAAGAAGAAAAACATCTCTTTTGCCGAAAACAAGGGAATTCAGAAAGCCTCCAAAACAATGACTGGTCAAAACTGATGAATTACATGATTTTATTTCAGCTGATACTATGAAGCATTTTACTTGGAAGAAGCAAAGTGTTGTCCTAACAGTTTTGAATTTAAAGAAGGAAGATTATATTCTAATCTAACAAATAGTCTTTGACCCTGAAACACTTTTTCCATCTATAAATGAATGTATTCACATTAACCAAAACCTTCATGTCCAGTTCCAGTGCAATAGAACCCTTATACTGTTACCACAGTGGTTTATGGGCGGACAGCATGCTAAACTCACAAAATTTAGCATGTTTCAAACTTCATACAAAACATGGTGGAAGAACAATTGTACTCTATTCTTAAATAATTACAAAAAGACAATATTACCAACCAAAAGGTTGTCCTTCATTTTCTGTAGAACTAATATGTTATGCCTTGTTACTGCACTATACATTTCAACAAGCCTAAAAATTACTTCTGGAGAAATTTCCATTACCATCTTTTTCTTTATTAGAGAAAATCAAAAAAAATAATTGTTTTCAATGTGAAATGTGTAGGTAATGATAGTGATGATGCTACAGAGAAACAGTACTTTGACTTACTTTCTCAAGGTTTTACAGTTCCATCTAGCCATATGACAGTTTGAGCTTGTTTTGCTATTCTTGACTATGCAGATAAATTTATTGTAAAACAATAAATCCACTACAAGAGAGTTTGATGAAAGTGTTTTGGAAACTTATTCTTGAAAATATGTTTTTACTTGTGAACAACATACTGAAAAAGAAATTCACTTTGCAGCAAAAATTGTTGTGAATATATTTTACAACAAACGAAAATTTTCAGTGGGTGAAGTTTGAAAAAATATTGTGGAATGTTTTTTTTTTTTTCTTTTTTTTTAAAAAAAGGCAAAGATCAAAAGAAAACTGATTTGTAGAGAAACTGTTGGCAAGTTTTTTTTACTTGTTTTGTATTACTGCTTAATTCTTAAATAATTTTTTTGTTTGTTTACAATCTTTTATTATTACTTTTCTGTTTAAAAAGAGAAAAAACAACCTGTTTGTGTATTTTTGTATGTTTTTAACTTGTTTTAGATAGACATAAATTTACTATAAACCAAACAGGCTTGTTAAAATTTAACCGGAAATGTGATATGTAGGCCCATATATATTAGTGGGCCGTGGCACCATTAAAATAATATTTTTACATTCAAAATAGGAAAATTCTGAAATTGTAATTTGTCTCTGTTAATTCTCATTAAATATTTGATCACAAAAACTATAGCATTCCACTAAAAATCTGAGTAATCTATTCAATCAAGAATATGGGTATTGGTTTTTATTCATAATTTAATTGAATATTGTTTTCTTTTTACAGAATCTTTGGCCAATTCCTGGCCCTTCCCCACTAAAGAAGCTCCTAGAAGTCCAGAAACAGCAACGTCAAAACGACCCCCATTGAAACTGAGGCTTGAGCATGCAGAATGATGATACTGCTGTGTTTTTTTTATTAAAAAACCTACTTGAGGTGCTCCAGCTTTACTGCACCCGTTGAAAAGGAGGCCACTCTCAGTTTCATTACCACTGGCGGCTGGTCTGCCTATTCCTATCAAAGGGGAGTTGTCTTACTAAGGAGCTGCCGTTACGAGCGGAGAGGGCCGGCGCATGTCCAGCTGCTTACAGCCTAGCACTGACCAAATAGCATTTGGGGGGGAAAGAACAAAATATTCATAAATACTACAATTACATTGAAAGAACTGAAACATATAAGGGAGCTAAACAAAAGCAAAATAATTGGGTGGGGGATAAGTTTTAACTGAAACAGGAAAAGAAACAAAAACATGTATATTCTAATAAAAAAAAAAATCTACACACAAATACATCATACTCCCAAAATGTTAACTGTGAATTTTTATGAATTACCACTTTCATCAGCAGATAATAAATAAAAACACCCATACTGCTTTCCTCCCATCAATGGCAGATTTATTTATAACCAAACTTGAATGTGCAAATGTATAGTTGTTTGCTGTTCCTCCATCAGTCAACTCCTGCTCCTCTTAATTAATAAAAATACTACTTGAAAAATTTAAAAAAAAAAAAAAAAAAAAAAAATGGAAAAATAGAAAAAGCGACCAAGAAAACTTGAACCCTCTTTTTTCTTCTTTGAAATAATGGTGTTAAAAAGTTCATGTAAAAGAAAAAAAAAAGAGATTTGAATATATCCAAAAATTAAAAAGATACAAAAAAATTTATCAACAACAATAATGCTGACCATTAATAATAATTACGATTATTAATACTGAAAAAACAGGACAACATTAATAGTTGTTGATTTTGAGCCTTTTTTTTTTTTTTTTTTTTAAACAATCAAAACCATCAAAGTGTTATGAAAATAATGTTATATTCTCCCCTTTACAAAAAGCAAATATGATTTTTTTTTTTCTTTTTAACAAAAATGAGAAAAATTTTAAAACCTGCTCCAACTTTAACTACTCTCTGCTTACCTGTTGGTCACTCACACCAAGGGCATGATGGAAATGTCCCCACCCCTTGTAAACCCCCCAAATAACCAAAAAAAAAAAAACAAACAAAAAAAACCCCAAAAAACAAAAAACAAAAAAAAAAAAAAAGTAATGCATAAGTATTTAGTTGGTGGGATTATAGATCACTTTCTTTTTCTTTTTTTTTTTTTTCCCCATTTTTTCTTTTTATCCCTCTGTAGCTTTTATTTCTTTTTCATATTTAAATATTTTTTCCATGCTCTTTTGGTATTTTCTGTGAAAAACAAGATAGCATGTGGTTTTTCCAATTTATTTATTTATATTACTTTTTAGATGGTAAAGAGACTTAAACATTTTCCTTATAAAAGAACAATGCACATAGTTTATCCTATGATACATACTTAAATATCTTTGTATGTATAATTTGCCAATGAGCATAAAATGGTGCATTATATTTGATCTTTACATTTATTTTTTTTATTTTCTAATTAAAATTCTGGAGGTTTTTTTTTTCTTTGGTTGAAAACTTACAAATTTATTGCTGAAGTAAGTCTGAAAAAGCAAAGGAGTTATGCATCTTAGAAGAACTCCTGAGTTACTTGGGATTATCATTTCATCTTGAGTAACACCTTTTTAAATCGTTTATCTTGTCTTTCACTTAGTGTGACTCTTGCAGCTCTGGTACTGCCTGCATAGTTTGATTTCTCTTTGGCATGCTTCTTTGTATATAGGTATGTAAGTCAGTATGTATGTTTATTTGTCAAACACTTGTCCAGTACTTGAGTATGTATGTATAAGTTATATTGACACTCACACTGTGAAAAAAAGACATCTGGAGACACAATAACTCCAGTTTGATTAATGTTTGAATGTTTTTTAATATTTGTCAAGCTGAATAGGTACTAGCACATGTGTATTATGCATATAAATGCATAACTCATGCACATTGATTTCTTGCTCTATCCACATATGTGCGTATATGCTTCTTTGCATGCACTTGTTAAAAATTTATGCAGATTTACATTTAAAAATGTATGTGCATATGAACATTATATACCCACATACTAGATAATCGAACAGACGGCTAGGTACACACATCTTGCATCTTGAGGCAATTTTAAAAGCTCAAGTCGAAACCATAATGTGTTGGTACATGCAGAGGACCTTTTTCCGTCCGTTCCGAGAATCATCTGTGGAGATCTATTTATTTATTTTTTTTTTTTTTATCCCCTTTGTGATGCTCCAAAGAACACACAGATTTTAAGACAGAAGTATGAACACCATTTAAAACTAGTAATCACTCCCTATCACCTCACTGTCTGTTTTTACTGCTATTACTTCCATTAGTAACAAAAAAAATATATACCAATGTGATGAATTTTAAAAAGAAGTTTGGATTTTAACTGTGCATTTCTTTCTAAGGAATGTTTATATAAAAGAAAAAAAAAAAGAAAGATGAAAAAGGAAATTCTTCATAATGAAAAAAACCTTGCAATGTCTGAAGTGTCACTTTTGGTTACGGGTTTAATTTTGGTATGTAGATTTTTTATTTTTTTTTAAATTTACTTTTTGGCTTGTCATGACTTTTTTTTTTTTTTTTTTTTTTTTGCACAAAGTGTGTTGTTGCTGTATTGAACATTTGAATGAAAACAAGTGCATGTTTTTTTTGTGTTAAATGAAAAAGAGACAGGCCATCACAGGAGAGAGAAAGAAAGAGGAGAGAGAAAAATTGAAAAGAAAAAATCTTATTTATTTATTCATTCAAAAATTTACAAAAAGCATAAAATAAAGAAAATTGAAGTTAGTATAATTTATTTTCCTCTCTTTCTGAATTTCTCTTATCCATTTATATCTACACCTCTGTTCAGCATGCATATGCCAGTCTCATTCAAATCTTATCCTTTATTTTTCCCTTTTGTTCTAATGTTATTTCTTCTTGTGTTGGCTTTCTGTGATCAGAATGCCATTTGGCTGATGATATTTAGAAAAAATACATCTATATTATTGATGTTAGATTTCTACAAACATGTATTCTGTTTAATTTTTATTTTATTTTGTTTAATTTATAAGTGATTTTGTCACTGTAAATCTGTAAGTTATATCAATGCCAGATATGTGAACATAAAACCACGTCCTCCTCCTTCTCCTCTTCTTCCTAAAACATTTTTAGTTTATATTTTAATACAAATAGAACAAAATCAATGTTTATTGGTAAGAAATAATCAAATTCATGGTTAACTCTTACTCCTTTTTTTGCCTTACTTTCTGATGGAAATGTTTTGATATTACTTTGAAGACTTTATTGTCCATTTGCTCTGTAAATAAACTGCTAACAAACTAATTTTATTTTTATTTCTACAAACTCATACAGAGCTGGCTGCATTTATTAGTTCTTTATGAAGTGGTCCAAATTGGAGCAGGCTGTTTGTTTCTTTCACCCCATCAATCTCAGCTGTGTCATTTCTCAGAAAGAGAGGGGCTCAATTTTCCTTACACATTTCTTTGCTGTTCTTGGTGTCATTGGAAAACATCCACAAGAAGGATTTTAGATGAAGTTGACAAATTTAAGAAAAAAAAATTGCTGTTTATAAAACTGTTTTTTCCAGAAAAAAAAATATAAATAGATTTATGAAATTAGTAATTTTTTTTTTTTTTTTTTTTTTTTTAAAATAAAATCTAAATCATTTTATACTAAAAAAAAAAAATCATGAACAAAAACCCAAGCCAGCAACACAAAATAATTTAAAAAAAGAAAAATACCACTACAAAAACTATAAAACTAAACTAAAAAAAAAAAAAAAAAAAAAGCAAGTGGAATTGTATAATGCAACTAAGTAACCAACTGCTTTAACCTGTTCTTTGTCACTAATGAGATTTGCTTAAAAGCTGAGTTGGTCAGGTATAGATGATTTGAAACCAAAACATTTGCAATGACAATGACCTGCTAATTGCAAATGAAATTGCAGCTTGCTTAATTTGCTTTCTCAATGCCAGGACAGACAGACAGACAGACTGACTTTAAGAGTTTCTTGCCATTTTTTTTTTCAATTCTTCTACCCTGACAGTGACGACTAAGCTCTTTCTCCTCCAGTATTTAGACTTTCTATTTTACAATATCCAGTAATTGCTATGATTACTAATTTCATTGATTTAATAATGGTGATAAAAGAGGAGAGAAAGAGCATGTGCAACAGAATGAGAAAGAGAATTGGCTAAGCTAGATATTTACTGGTGAGGAAAGAGAGAGAAAGAAAGAGGTTTAGGGTTAAAACCCATGTTGATTTTTGCCACCATTACTTTACCACTCCCTCAAATATATTACATGACAATTTGTCTGCTTCCATTTTCTTTTTTTTTTCTTTTTTAAGTGTTGTGATTTAAAAAAACATATATATATATATATATATATATATATATATATGTATATGTATAGGGAGTGGAGCTATTTGTAGTACAGTAGCGACATTGTGAGCTTGGTGGATAGATGGAACTCTCTGGATACACACATTATCAAAAGCTGCTGCTGCTGCTGTAGACTTGCTTCAGCAGTTGCACTACAGCCTGTTATCTTTCTTGTGATGCAGTCTTTTGGGAAGAAAAAAAAAATCTCTATAAACAAACCCTTAATAGTTCCTAAGTATTATTTTTCTTGGTGTTCTGAAAAATGACATAGAAACATGACTTTATCAATTCGATTGTTTTTATTCATCTGAAATAAATGATTTCAAATGAGGTTCTTTTAAACTTTTTTTTTTTTTTTTTTTTACAGGGATTAAAGTTGTATTGTTTTTTTATGTGATTTTTATACACAAGGAAAACAATCACGTTCACTTGCATAACTAATAGAGGTTTTGAAATCTGATGACCACGTATATAAGATTTCATCTCAACAAAAAAATACTTAAGTTTTTTTGTTTTTTTTTGTTTTTTTTTAGGGACATTTTTGGTGTGGGTATTT